AAAAGAGTAATCTGATACAATTTGATGAACTTGACCTACACCTATGGATGCAGTAGCTCAAAAGAGGGAACAAATCTTTACAGCAAGGATCATTCTCACCCCCTCCATACACAGAGTAGACAGGGATGGGCAACTTGGACATTGGCTACCCAAAGTGGTGGGTCTACAAAGGCAAGAAGTGACTGGCTTACAAACTTTCCAGAGGGAACCTAGATCCAGAGGGCGTGGAGAAAGGTAGAATCTCCACTGAGTAGTATCCAATCTATGTAGTTGGGGCTGATGAAAGGAAATGTGGATAGGTCTCTTGTGATACAATGGTGAATAATTGTTATCAGGACTGATTGTGAGGGTTGGAAATGTAAAGGTAGACGTTTTGTAGCAAGGAGGGGAGTGATTAATTTTGCAGTCTAGGAGCGGAGGTCCCTGGGACCATCAAGGGAGAAGAGTGGAGAGTGGGACCCTGCCCAGAGAAGCAGTGATGCCCGAGATGGAGGCAGAGACTACAATGTGTGGAGAGATGGAGCAGCTGGGGACTCTATATCCAGAGAGGGAGAGGGGCTGTGTGCTGAGGACTAGGAAGCAGGCTTGCAGGGTATATACCCTTTGGTTGGTTTTTGATGCATGGAGAGGATTGTAACCATGGCAATGAAACGATATATGATAGGTTGAATGTAAAACTAATATTCTCCCACGTAAACTATCACATAATTCACAATAAAACATTTGAAAAAAAAAAAAAAAGAAATAGAACAAAATAAGGCATTAGGCAAATCTGCTACTAAAGACCTCTTTGAAGCCTTAAACAGCAAGTTCAGTTTGAGGACTAAAGTGATCCTGCCTCAAGCCATAGTCTTTTCAGTCACTTCATTCATATACATGTGAAAGTTGGATAATGAATTAACAAGACTGTAGAAAGATCGATGCATTTGAATGATGGTGTTGGAGAAGAATACTAAAAGTACCATGGCCTGCCTAAAGAACAAACAAATTTGTCTTGAAAAAAGTACAACTAGAATGCTACTTAGAAGCGAGGATGTCGAGACTTCTCTTGTATTTTGGACATGTTATCAGAAGGGATCAGGCCTTGGAGAAGGACATAATGCCTGGGAAAGTGGGAAGTCAGTGAAAAAGCAGAAGACCCCCAATGAGATGGGTTGACACAGTGGCTGCAGCAATGGTTTCAACAACCATTGTGAGGCTGGAGCAGGACCAGGCATGTTTCGTTGTGTTGTGCACAGGGTCACTATGAGTTGGAACCAATTCTATAACACCTAACAGCAACATCTAATTTCTACATATTTCATAGTTAGCATATTTACTGTTACAATGTAAAAAAACACAAAATATTTTATTAAATATCTTAAAAGGAGCTAGCATTGGGGCAGGAAGAGTTATGAGAGAGAATGATAAATAGGTACTTTTCTTGTGTAAAATAAAAGAATTTGGGGAGGCCATTTCCTGAGGATGCAGGGCAGGTGAGGAGGGCACACCTGACTGGATCACCAAAAAACAGGTGCGTGAGGTAAAAGTGGCTGGAAGAAGCTGAGACCATAGTGTGGGTGCCATGGAAAAAAGACTCCCAGTTGGCTGGTGAGACAGGCACAGGACTATGGAACTCAATACACCCTTAGGTGAAGAAGCTGAGTTTCTCCCAAGGGTGGAAGTAACCCTGACATGTAGTCTGCAAATATACATCTGGTAACCTAGATAGGAACAGGTAGGGTGGTAATTCCATATTTGGGAGTCAGACTTTTGGGACGGTGTCCATGCAGGATAACCTGAGCTAGGTTGGGGTGGGAAAGAGAATCTTCAGCATTTAATTTCTTGAATGTGTCATACTTTTTCCATGCTTTTGTCCATACTGTTCTCTAAGCCCAGAATTCTCTTCTCCATTTTATGTGCTCACCAAAATCCTGCTAATCCTTCAGGATTCTGTTCTAGCTTCAGCATCTTTGGGAAGCTTCCCTGATTCCTGAGACTGTGTCTGAGACTCCAATAGCTCCCTGTGCTTTTCTATCACAGACTTGCCATTCTATACAATTGTAATCTGTTTCTGTCTGTTACTCTAGATTGGTCAGCACTTCAAGGCACCATCATTGTGCATGTCTTTATTTCTAAGTGTTTGTTGAACAAACTACTGACAAACCAGAGTATCCAGGTACCTCAGAGCCTGAGAGATGACCTGCAGCCCAATACAGCTTGCCTGGAGGTCCTAGCTTAGAAAGATCCTCAGGTAAAAAGTTTTAAGGGGCTAGAAATGGGATTTAGTTCCCAAATCAGATGGGTTAAGGACAATGAGCCCTTTGAAGGCCTGGACCCCTCTCTCAGGCCTTTATCAACCTTTTATCAACCAATTCCCCTCAAATTTATAGGAGAATTCTCCCCTTGGCTCTCTGACACATTTTTGAAAAAGGTTCAACCAAGTCTTGGTCCAATTTAGGGTAAAAGACTTGTCTGGGTATTGGTGGCTTGGGAGAAGGGTAGCATAAACTTCTGTTTAAGCCTGGTAACAACTGGGTTGGAATTTTAGGAAATGGCCTAAGTCAGAAAGGGAACGTGAAATCATATGAGAGAGTGGGAATTGGGAAGAGACTTTCTGGAAAGACACACAAGTCAAGAGTGTTCGGACAAACAGCTTAGACAATATAGTTAAAGGTTCGATATTAGGGACACAAACAAGGAGACAAGGTACTCACAAAGGTGGGAATTGGGGGATAGTCTGGCTTCTTGGTTTTATAGCAGGAGCAGCAACAGCAAATGAACCGGAAAATTCTCCTGAGAGATATAGATGGTGAGGAGGGGTTAGTCAGAAGACAGGACCTAGGAAATTTGGGACAGGAGCTTGGGGGTGACATGGGCTAGATCTTTGGAGAACTAGGAGTGAGAATTCTATGGTCATCACCTGAGAAGGTAGAAGATGGACTTTGGGGAGGGCAGAATGTTAAAAGGCACAGGCAGTGTCAGCCCCTCTCTGAAGTATGACAGGTAGAGCTTGGAGCGAGCAAACTTCCACTCTACATCAGCATCATCCTAGGGACCAGAAGGTAGAAGACTGTGCAAGGATCACTTTGGTGCCCAGCCCTTCTTCCCACTTAATCTGCCTTCTCTTTTCCCCATCCTCTCACATTTTGTTCTCCATCATGTCAACCACTGTCCTCGCCCCTATTCTGGTCTCCATTCTCATGTATCATCCACATTTCCCTGTCTCCACCTTCTCTTTCCTTTTTATCCTCTGATACCCAGTCTACTCTCTACCTTCATGTTCTAATGTACTCATTTCCTTCCTTCTCCCTTCTCACATTCCCACCTTATGTTTCCACAATCCCTCATCACCACCATGAAATTGAAAGAGCACTAGGCTTGATGTCTAGCATTACTAAGTCCCTCATTTTACAGATGAGGTAAATAAGGCCTAAAGAGTGTAACTTGTCCAAAATCTCAAACAAGGCAACAGTGGAAGCAGAGCAGGAACTCAAGGATCTTGACATCTCTCACCCTATTCCTCTTCAGCTGTCCCCTCCTTCTCTCTGCCTTAAGCTAACCTCAGATTACATACCTCAATCTTCTGGAAGGAGTTAGTGATCATGGCAATGAGCATGTTGAGCAGCACTATGACCATGACGATGGTAAAGATGCCATAGAGGGCCCGGCCAACGAATTCAGGCACCAGAAACTGAGGCATGTCTACCACACTGTGCTCCTCCATGCCAAACATGGTCCAGAACAGAAACTGGAATGTCTCGTTGAAACTAGCATGCCAGGCCAAATAAGAGAAAGAAAGTGAGGGATGGGAGATGAACCTGAACGTCATCCAACCACACTCTTCCTGCCATCCAGTCATTCTGCTTACATGAAGCTCTCTGGACTGCACTGATTCATATAGACACTTGCCATTTCTGAGCCCCAAACTTTATTCTTTTAGTTAACTGATATTTATCGAGCACATCGTGCCAAAGGTGCTAAAGATATCTTCAAGGACCTTATGCTTTGAGGAATGAGATAGACATTAACCATACCAACATTTAAAAATTGTGGTAAGTGCTATGAAGGAGCAGCATAGGATGCAATGAGATGTAGAACTTGAGTGTGGCTTAGTTTTGGAGTTAAGAAAGAATCTTGGAAAAAATGACATTCAGAAAGGGCTTCCTGGTAGAGACTGAGCAATCAACCAGGTGAAAAGGCAGGAGGTGGGTGTGAAGAAGAGCATTACCCAAAGTAAAAGGAGCTGGGGGACATTTGAAGAACTCAGAGATGATCATTGTGGCTGGTTGCAGAGTGTAAGGGGGAGAGAGACTTTTGAGAGGTAAGTAGGGACCAGCCAGTTCTGGTATGGCTTTGTATAATTAATACTAGTTGCTTAGGATGGGCTTGGAGCAAAAGGAAGCTATCTATGAAGTTCTAAGTGGAGCAGTACCACTAAAGTTACATTTGAAAAGATCACTTAGACAGCTTTAAGTAGAATGATAGAGAAACAGGTGAGTGGAGAGATAGAGGCCATGATCTGGATGATGTGGTTTGGTCCAACTCCAGTGCCACCTCTGTCAGGAAACCCTTCCTGAACTCCCTTCCTTACCCCGCAGCAGAAGTTGCATGTTTATTAGTCACAGACTTACCTACACACTCTCTCTCATATTGTATTTTTGTGTGAATTGTCCTATTCCCACCATCTCAGTGCCAGTTCAGGCCTACAATAACTTCATTCTGGTTTCCTGGCCTGAATATTATTCCTGTTAATTCATCCTCCACATTGTATCTAGGGTATTCTTTCTCAATACTAATCTGATATGTTGTTGTTGTGCTTGTCAGTGCTTAAATTCTCCTAACTATTCTCAGTCCAGCTGTCCACCATGCAGCCTACCTGAAATTTTTAGTAAAAACACTTTTGACTTTATTTGCTGCCACCCATGATTAAATAGCCCTGGAGGCTGAGGTCTTTCCTTACTAATGTGAAGTAACTGATACCACCAGAAGCCACCAAACAGGCTAGAATAGGGAGTTACCATTCTTGGCATGGTGGATTCAGTTTAACTTTAAACTGTGCAAACTTGGGTCCTTTAAGCTCACATCCTGAGGCTGGGACTTGAACAAGGGTTCTTGGTATAAAAGGAGTTATCTGAATAAGCCTCCATAGACTTTCTGCTTCCTCGAAGATTTAAAGCCTCGGAAGCCCTATATAGGGTGGCTACGAATAGGAACTGACTCCATGGCACATAACAACAAATATAATGGAACCGTAAGAAACCCTTGACCTATATCCTCAGGCCCAAGTGTGGATCCTTAAGCATCATCAATGAAACTATCACACATTTGCGCTTCTGCAACTTCATGATTGTGTGACTGCCTGAGAGGCCACCTGGAGTTCCCTGGCCTGCTTCTCAGCAAAACCTTCAAGTCTAAGCTTCTTGGAAAAATCTTCATGCTTCAAACACTGACACCCTATCTATCCTCCTCTCATAAACTTCCTCCATTCACCAACAGCAGGAGACTTACTATTCCCCAATGTACACCCCTGCTTTGATATGGCCTCTTTTTGCCTGGGAAGCTCTGCCTCTTCTTTGAAGTCCATAACCCTTTAAGGTAGAGCTTAGAGTCTCCTTTATCTGGGAAACCTTCCCTAATCATCCAATGCAGAAGAAGGGGACTCCTCCCCTGCGTATGCTCAACATAAGCCCTCCTTCCCACACTTAGCATCCCCAAATTGCACTTATTTGTGCACATGGCTATCTTCTCCATAGCGCTGGGTCTGGTTCATTTCTCTTGTCTTTGTTTTCAGTGCCAGGAACAGGACCTACTACAAAGAAGGTGTCAGTAAATGAGTATAAACTAAAAACACAAAAACAAAACAAACAACAAAAAATGCTGTTCTTTGATACAAGATCAAAGAACAGCATTTGCCTTAGAAGGAAGGAAGGGATAGGAAAGAAAGATGAATGGACACAGTAAACACAAAGAGGAAGCGGGAAGAGTACTGTTCATTGCAATCAATGTCATAAATCAAAATGTGTTTGAATTGTTAAAAAGAAAACCAATTTGCTCTATAAACATTCAAACTGACATCATGTGCCTCCTAGTATGATACAACATGAAGTATACCTCATCAACTAGGTTGCCAAAATAGATAAATCCAAATTGAAGAAAACATTCTCTACCCAATAATATGAGCTACACTCTTCAAAAAAGTTAATTTGTCCTGGAAGATAATAAAAAGGGAGAGAGAATGTTCTAAAGTTAAAGGAAACAAAAAGAGATGTGATAACAAAGTACAACGTAACTTGATTGAATCATCTTGGATTTGAAAAAAGCGATAAAGATTTTTTTGGCAACTGGCGACATTGAATAAGGACTATAAAATAGAGATTATCATGGTATTGATGTTAAATTTTTTGGAGGGTGATAATGGTCTTATGGTTTCACTTTTAAGAGGTATACTGAACTATTTGCAGCAGCATGATGTCTGCAACTTGTAAAAATTTCTGAAAAAAGAATAAAGAGAGCAATAGACCAAGCAGATGTGGTACAACATTAACAATTGGTGAAGCTAGATGAAGGGCATGTGGATGTTCATTGTACTAGTCTTCTAATTTTTTTGGAGTATTGAGTTGTTTCAAAATAAAAGGTGTGGGAGAGAAGAGAGTAAATAAATGAGTAGATAAACAAATGACTTAGTGACAGTGAATCCATGAGGGTGAAAGCCAACAAAAGAATTAGTTATTGGATAAACAAATGAGGGAGGGAGGGAAAAGGAAAAGTGATCACTAACTCTTCAAGTTACAAGGCCCCAGACTCCCACTTGCCCAGTCTGCCCCAGCATACTTGCCCAGCCGCTCTGTCTCTTGGTAGGGCACGTAGATGTTGTTGAGGCCACAGAGGAAGGCAGTCAGGATGATCATTAGGATGAACATGAATCTGACAGGGTGTGATGCGGAAGGGTCAGTGCAGTGCTCCTCTTAGGAGAAGTCAGACACTGGGAAAAATGATGTGTGTGTGATGGCCTTCTTAGTCCAGCCTTTCAACTTGACAAATACCAATTTTATTGGTTTTTACAAAAATGAGTGGTGGGAAATAGGAGGAATTTAAAGTGGGTGCCAAAGAAGGAGCCCTCTTTCAAGAATAAAGGGTTTTAAGTTCAGTCAAAGCTGGGGAGGAGTCAGAGTCCTTCTGAGTAGGAGAGTTAAAGCCACAGGTGGAGATGAGCAAACCTGCTACAGGGAGGGCTAAAAGAGCCCAAAGATGGAGTAGGAGGATCTCCCCCAAGCTAAGCTGAGCTGAACATGGTCATAGATGTAACCAGGGCTTTGCTCACCAATATAACCACTCCAGTCCCAGTTCAGGGAAGGAGTTTCCAGGGAGCAGGCAAACTAGGAGTCCTGGTGTGGCGCTGTGGGTTAATGAGTCAGACTGCAAAGCTGTTTGAACTGCAAGGCTGGTGGTTCAAGCTTACCAGCTGCTCCTTGGAAACCCTTACAGGGTTGCTATGGGTCGGAATTGACTCGATGGCACTTTACAACAACAAAGGCATTAACTATGGACTCTGGTTAGAGTGAGAGGCCAAGTTTAGCTGTAAATAATTGAGAAGTCCTGGTTGGCGCTGTAGGATAAAGTGCTAGACCATAAGATCGGCGGTGCAAACTTACCAGCCGTTCCTTGGAAACCCTATACAGGATCGCTATGAGTGGAAACAGACTCAACGGCACTTAACAACAAACACCAAGATGACCAGCTAATTCCAAGAGCAGTTTTAGAGTAGGAAGGATCCAAAGGGGCCTGATCCAATATCCTTACTATACAGATGGGAAAAGTGAGGCTACAGAGGGGTCACATAGAACAACAGAACTAGGACTGGAACTTCCAACTGAGGGCTTTTTTGCTAGTAGTGATTCTGAATTATTTCTTATACTCTCAACTGTACCCATAGTTTCAGGGTTTCCCAGGTCTCTAGAGTCTATGCGAGGGATTTAGGTTAAGAACTCCTGGGCTACAAGGGAGCTGGGGGAGTTCAGAAGATTGACAGGAGGGTGCTCTAAAGAACCACAGTACATACCGCATCATGTCGTCAATCATTTTGCCAATGGAAATCTGCAAAGTGCCCAGTGACTCATGAGCTGGCAGAATGTAGGCCAGGCGGGTGAAGCTGAGCATGCTGGTGACAGCAAAGAGCACCTCAGCCAAGAACTGGGGATCCTCAGTGCGCCACTCACTTCTCTCTGTGTAGAGTGGAATGGGGCTGGAGCTGAGCGCCAAGGAAGAAGAGGAACTGGGGAATTCAGGATGAACTGGGGAGGGGGGTCTGGGGGTGGGATTCTCACCAGCAGTGGTGAAATAGTGGCAGGCAGTTCCATCCGGGGCATACTGGCAGTGCATGTGGGCAAGTCCAGCCAGAAGGAGGCGCAGTGCAAAGGCTGCCAGGTACAGAGAGAGAATAACTACATCCAAGAAGTTCCACCAATCCAGGAGGTAACTGCGCAGGCCCTCGATCCACACCTCCTTACACTCAAACCAGAGGAAGCCTGAAAGCAGGAAAAGGGGCTAAGACAGGATGGGGCAGAACTCTCCTCCTTCCAGGCCAGAGCTGGATTAATGTGCATATGGGGGTAGGTGAGGGGCTAAGAGATCACTAGGATTAGCTGATAAAATATACACAGTAATCTTAAGTAAAAATAAAACGTATTCTTTCCCTGAGAGAATTTTCTGGTGCAATGTGCACCAGTGGTCACAGTCAGAAAGTGAGTAACACCTGGGAGAGGTTGCTGATGGGGAGGGAGTGGTTTATTATTTTTTAATTTTTAGATCTTTACTACAATCTGAATAGAAAACAAGAACTATTAAAAACTAAAACTGTTATGTAATTTCTTTTTCGTCCTCTTTGGAGCAATGATTCTGCTTTGGCCAGAAGTGAATTACTAAAAATCATAGTCTGTCTGCTCTCCACCAAATAAGTGTTGGACAAGTATTTTAAAAATATTGTTTGGAATGGGTTCCAAATTATCAGCCTGCTCAGGATGCCAATATCTGCGTGGAGCCTGGTGCTTGATCTAGATGAGGAGTTTGGGAGCTGGACACATTGTACCCTTTTCTATTCCCTGAATTTAACTGTGTACCTTTTCACTCAAGGTTCTTTCCACCTGTAATGTCCTTGCATATCCTTTTGAAACTCTGTTGACTTTTGGGGCCCAGGTCTCCTCTTTGAAATCCTCCCTAATCAGGTGAAGTGAGTTGATTCCTATTCTGTTTCCCCAGCACTCTGTTCATCTCCAATGTCATTGCTGAGGGCATGGGCCTCCATAGGCCAATCTCCCTCTTCCTGTCTCCTCTTAAACGTGGAGTCCCACAAGGGCAGAGACCATGCCCAATTCACCTCTTCGTCCTCAGTACCCAGGTCAAGGCTCAGTGTTCACTATGATAAAATATTAACTTCCTAACCATGTGTAACTGGGATTATGTGGTGAATAATGCAGATACATTCTCTGACCTTCCAGACTTTATAACCCGATACGGTAGGCAGGCAAGTAATCAAGTGATGACAATACAACTGAATGCTAAGAATGAAGATCCTGGGAAAGAGACTGTTTTAGAAGTGTTTAAAAATATATCCTCATCTTGATTTGGGGGTCAGGGAAAACTTCTTGAAGTGGGATTTAAGCTGAGACCTGAAGGATTTGTAAGAGTCAGTCAGGTGAAGGGGCAGCATAGGAAGAGAGGGTTCTAGGAAGAGTGATGTGTCAAGGCTGGAGGCAAGTGGGAGCATGACATAGTCAGGAACTGAAATCAGTTCTGCACGGCAGGACTTGTGAGGGTAGGGTGGATGCTCAGTATATGTATATTGAATGAATGGGTAAAACCATACTTAATTTAACTATGTATTCTGTTTCACTTACCGTAGGGTATTAACAAATATTTATTGCAAGAATAAGCATTTTATTTCTTCCATAAGGACAGAAACTATTATTGGTTTTATATCCACCCAGCACAAGTCAATAAATGCTTAGTAAATAATTAGGTGAAAGGAGCTCTGGTAGCGTACTAGTTAAGAATCAGGTTGCTAATCTCATGGTCAGCAGTTTAAAACTACCAGCTGTTCTGCAGGAGAAAGATGAGGCTTTCTGCTCCTGTAAAGATTTACAGCCTCGGAAACCCTGTACAGGGTCGCTATGAGTCAGAACCGACTCCATGGAACATAACAACAACAACAACAAGTAATTAGGTGAGAAACTCCTTCTTGGACTGATCTTATTTTCTTTCTCTAAAGATTCTTGGTCAAATTTCCTTTCTGATATGATTGTATAGTGTGGTACAGTGGAGAGTAGTGGCTTGGGATTTTGTTAGCTGATCTAGAGCTGACTGAGGGGAGGGCAACAGAGGAAGGGGCCACCCAAACAGCCTGTTAGGTAGAGTTCTTGGGATTTTTGTACGTAATGGGCATTTGCCATATTGTTTCAGAATACTTAATCCTGCTTTAGATAAAAAGAAAACAAATGGGGTGAATGAAACTTATGTGTGTTAAGCATAGGTAAGTTAGTAGCCTGAGTAATATGTTAAATAAAACAATTAAATAGAGCATATGTGTGTGAACATACATAGAAAGGGATGGACAGGCTGGTACACTAAATATTCATGACACACTGAATATGCATGAGGCATGTGGGACACTCACTATCAGATTTTAAACCAGCAACCCATTGGAGTCCTATTGTGATGCTGTAGGATAAGCACTGGACTGCTAACCACAAGGTCAGCCGTTCAAACCCACCAGCCATTCCTTGGAAACCCCATGAATCAGAACCAACTCTAAGGCACTTAGCAACAGTAATCCATTGGTGACACCCATTTTTGGTCCCAGGTGTCTTCTGCCCAAGGAATGCAAATACAAGTCATAACTGCTCATCAGGATAATTGGTAAGCTACAGCTGTAGCCAGACATACTTGCCCTTGTTTTTCCAACAGATAAAGTGTTGGTCCCAGGTACTTGTCTGTTGCATGCCCCCTGCTCAAACCTCAACTCTGGTCCTCTTAACAACACCATCATAACAATACCATTTGTTGATTTAATAAATGGTATGACTAATTTGGAGTCCAGGTGTGGCATTGTAGCACACGCACTGGACCACTAGACTGGTTTGAACTGCAAGGTGAGCGATTCGAACTCACCATCAGAAACTTATACAGGGTCTCTATGAGTTGGAACCAACTTGATGGTGCTTAGTAACATCAACAACATAATTAATTTGGTCTGTGAGATTTCTGTTTCATGATCTCTAGGATAACCTGTTTGGCAGTACACTTGCAGGCTACCATTACACCATGATATTTTCCCAGCTGGCACTGGGCCAGTGTCATTGTCCTATTTGTGAGAAGAGCAGAACCTCTAGAGTGGGTAATGATTGGTGCTAGGGTGAGAGAAAATGGGGCTCTTGCTCAGGTAATCTGTCACAGGGCTAGGTGGCCTGATTGGGGGTAAAAAGAAAGAGTCTCTTAGTATAAAAACACAGAGGTTACATGTTCAATAGGCATCTATAAGGGCAAGGTTCTCCCACGGACTGCTTATCATGGAGAAGTGAGGAGGCCCCCCAAAGGAGACTACCACAAATAAAGGGCCCCACACATGTACCTGTGACCCAAACCATGTGTAGGGAAGTCTCCCAGACGCTCTGGCTGCGGCCACGGAAGGTGCTGAGCTGTGTCTCCATAACCAGGGACTCTCCCAGCAGGAAGATGAGGAACCACAGATAGGAGGCCGAATGCAGCAGGAACTTCAGCACGGGAATCTTTAGCAAGTGGCCCAGCTTGTGTGGAGAAGGAAAAGAGCATGGCTCCTGGAGTCCTGTTCAAGTCTCTCTCTTTCCTAGTGGCCCTTCTGGACGTTCAGTCTGCATACAATTCTCCCTTTCTCAGATTCACTTATTCATTTTTTCAGACATTTATTGAGAATGTATATATCAGGTTCTGTAGGATAAGCACTGGACTGCTAACTGCAAGGTGAACAAGGTTCAAACCCACCAGTTGCTCCTCAGGAACCCTACTATACAGGGTCACTATGAATTGGAACCATCTTGGTGGCACTTAACAACAACAAACTTTCATATCTATTGTTTCCTTCACAGTCATTATAAGGTAGGCATTGTTTCTACTTTTCAGATAGGGAACTGAGAATAACATTGGTAAAGTAACTTTACCTTCGTGGTCCTATAATCTCCTCAAATCCAGCCAAGTTAAAAAAATAAATTATCTTCTGTCACAAACTTGTTCCTCCTCCTCCTATGTCCCTTAATTGTACTATTTACTGCTGTCTTGGACAAAAGGAGGCCTTGCATTCATTCACTATGCCTCAGATTCCTTCTCTATAAGTAAAGCATAATGCCTACTCTATAAGTAAAGTATAATGCCTACTTAATGTGAACATTTATAAAATACCCTGTCAAGGACCCAGCATAGAACAAATGCTCAATAAATGACAGTTATCATTAATCTCATGCTTAGTACCCGGGACTTGGGTGCCAGCCAGTAGCCAAGGCAGAGGAAGGGCATGGTGAGGAAGATGAGGAAAGCGACAAAGAGCTTCCAGATGGTGGTGCTTCCACGCCAGCCGGCCAAGTTCCCACACCAGATGGAGGACAGGACTTGTTGGCAGATGGGGTGGGCTACAAACTAAGCAGAGGAGACAAGGGGAGCCACTTCAGTGCATAGCCCTTACTTCCCTGCTACAAAGACGGAACCAGCCTGCCTCCCTCCCTGGGTTAGACAGTCCAGAAGATGGGTGAATCACTTGCCATGTAACCTTGGGCATATCTTACCTCTCTCTGGGTCTTGGTTTCCTTCTTTGTAAGAGGAACCTGAATTCAGGGACATTCCATAACTCTCTAGATCCTACATTCTTGACTCTAAGCCAAACTACAGTGGATTAAGGTAGGTATCCAAGTCCCAGAACCCCCAGATTCCCTGCCTTTTTAGAGATGTAGGATACCAGTCTGAATGATCTAGAGGCGACAAACAGGGAAGTGGGGAGCTTGGCATTTTGGACGGCAGGGCCGGAGGCACTATTATGAAGGAAGGTATGCTAAGCTATCTGAGGGTTGGTGAGAATAAGTAAGAGGCTGGAGGAGGCTGAAAAGGGGAGTATGTCTTTAGCTTGGTGGTGGTGGTGGTGCAGGTGCATCTAATGAGACAATGACTAGAGTCACATGCTCTCTAAATCCTGAGAGATCTAGTCTAATTTGTGTAGAGTGAGATAATGGAGTCTAACAAGGGAAAAAGATCAGCCCAAAGTTAATCAATAGGTCAGAGGTAGAGCTGAATCAAGACTTAGATGTCTTAGTGGGAAGAATGTCCTACTAGGCAACAGGTCTCTAAGGTCTGGGCATAAGTTAGCGGCTTACATTAAAAGTAAGGGACAGTTGGGGATCTAGAGGATCAAGAGCTTATACATATGGGAGCTCAGAATCAAGGAAAAGAAGGGTCCTGTGGGTAGGAAAAGAACTTGAGGTGGAAGATACTTAAAAGCAACAGGGCAAGGGATCAGGGCAGGCAGGGGAAAATGGTTAGGATCCGACTGACCCGCTTTTGATTGTAGTTGACAGCCAGTCGCAGCCTTGCCAGGTTGGGGATGCCCTCTTCAAAGGCCTGGCCCAGGCCCTCAGCCTCAGTCTCACTGTCTTCGCCCAGGTCATTGAGCACAGCAGTGACCTCGCTCTGGTTCCGGCACATGCCCAGCAGCTCAAAGCCATAGTCCTGGCTCAGTGACTCCAGTGCAATATACTCAGGCTGTAGGGAAGCAGATCTGTATGGACTCAGCCTATGGAAACCATCCTCTTACCTGTAGAATCAGCACTGGACTGAAAACTACAAGGTTAGCAGTTCAAACCCACCAACTGCTCCTTGGAAACCCTATACAGGGTTGCTATGAGATGGAACTGACTTTACAGCACTTAACAACAATCGGCCACTTCTTTCCTCTATCTGGTGTTCCCCTGGGTCATCTATTCCTTTTTCATTGGCAACCTCACCTGTCTGCTTGCTATGAGGTAACTCACGCATTACCTTTGCTTATCTGGTGCTACCTCTGCCTTTTCTCTAGGCTGCTTCAACCTAAAACCTCACGGCTTTTGATCACCCTTCATACAGCCTTTTCCTAATCCCTACTTCTTGCCCCACTTTTACTTATGCTTTTCCTTAATCTTTAAACACTCGACTGCTAACTGTTAAGATTGGTGGCTCAAATCCACCAGCTGCCCCTTAGGAACCCTAGACAGGGTTGCTATGAGTGGGAACTGACTCAATGACACTTAAAAACAACAACTGCCTTAGATGAGACCCCACACTGACAGTTTTAGGAGATTCTGAGGGAATACAGTAGTTCTTGCCTTCACTTGATCCATTCCAGCCTGTTTTATGTGGAGTCCTTACCCGAGAAAGAATCCAGGCTAAGATTTCAGGAGGCTGGGACTGAGTCCCAGTACTGTCTGTCAACTGGTATAACATGTTCCCTCAACTTCCTTGTCTATAAAATGGGAATAAATCCTGCTATGTTTCCCTCTGTGAGAATGGATTATTCCTGTAAAACTCCTTTGGAAAGGATCCTTTTCCCATACTTGGACAAATGGAGATATCATTGTCCTACTTCTGCTTTAGCTTGGTGGTAGCATGCTCTTTCCCCAACTCATATGGCATGGCCATAGCCTGCCATAGGCCTCCATTTTGACATCCTTGTTTCCCCATCTGTTGGTACTCTTGAGACAGGGATCAAGTCTGCTTGGCAAAGTGGGGCTGTCAATGGATGAGTGATGAACTAAACTGGAATGGTGGTATTCAAGGCCCCTGGTCAGTCCCTGCCTCCAAGCTTCCTCTGACTTCTCCTCATTCGTTCTGTCTTACACAGGGTCTACTCTGTATTTATACTAAACCACCCTTTTAGTAGCTAATCTTAACCTTACTTCTTCATGGAGTTTCCCCTCAACACATTAGCTACAGCTTTTCTGACCTGTTAGCAATATCCACAAAGACAATGAGTGAAGTGGAGTGTGCTGGGAGTGTTTTGTTTTCCCTCTCAGCCCTCTCCCTGCTTGTGATCACAAGCCCCATCCTCTGATCCCCAACACACAGCATTCTAGGTGGCAACATACAGCAGGTACTCAGAAAAGACAGTGTCATCTATCTCTGAATCTGTCTGACTGTTTTCCAATCTGTTTATGTTCTTTCTCCTCCCTCAGGTTACTTCTAGGGTTGGGGTTGTGCCCCTAGGGTGATGCACTGCTCTCTGCTATTAAATGAAAGCTCCCCAGATGGCCTCATTTTCTTGCTGTTGTTTCCTATTTCCCAGAATATCTACCACAGGCCCAATCACGCCCTGGTGGAAGAACATACCTGGCAGTACAGAAGGAAGAGGGGAGTATGGGAAACCAACCTTAAACTCGGGCTCCTTGCGAGCAAGACGCCTGAGCTCGCGACTGAGCTGGAAGGCAGCCAGCATGGCATCCTCACTGGCTAGTGAGAGGTGGGCCCTGCTGGCAATGCCGCGGTAGGTGTTGATGCGGGACAGGGAGAACTTCAGCAGGTCATAGCGGCGGGCATTGCCACACTCAAGGCAGGCACAGGAGACTGGGTGTGGCCGGGCGATAGTGTGGCCCTGATCCATAAGCAGCTGGGCAATCTCATACAAGTCCTTTTGGCAGGCCAGGGTGAGTGGAGTGATACCAGGTGCAAAGCGGGAGCCATCGATTGATGAGTCAAAGAAAGCCAGTGAGAAGGACCTAGTGTCTACTTTACGGCCCTTCTCCCGATCCAGCCGGGCCAGTAGGCGACGCACCACTGCTGGCTGGTTTGTATCCACCGCCACTAGCAGTGCTTCATGGATCTGCCGGAAGTCAAACTTGACATTGACCAAGAGTACATCAGTGATGGCCTCGTGGCCCAGGCGGATGGCCAAGTTGAGGGCTTCCCTCCATGAGCGGTCTTCGGCCTCTTCTACATTCCGCAGGGGCCCACCACCACCTGTGGCCTCTACTGACTCTAGCAGCTGCTGCACAAGACCCAGGCGTCCCTCCTGAATGGCACCCAGGAGTAGAGGTGGGAACTTCAGCTTTTTGTTCATGATCTCTGTCCAGTTGGGTTGTGGCTGAATGAAGGAATGGAGACAGTTGGGCCCCAAACCTCAAGACTCTTCACTTTGGAGCTCCCTTTGCTCTTCCACACTCAAGTCTTTAATGCTTAACACCCAACCCACCATTATAATATTCTTTGTACCAAACACATACTAAGAAAATTTTCATTTACCATTTATTATGTGCATTCTCAGGCTAGGAAAGTACTAGGACTAGGTCTGACTCTTCCTCAATACAACTTCCACCTCTCACAGGAATGCCCCCTTCACACACAGTGGGACTAAATGTGAGGTTAAAGTAGGTGGGTGGGGCTAGGTTGGAAGCCTGATTCCACATTCAGGTACACAGGATCTATCCAAGATACAGCTTTCATGTTGTTGCCTTCATCTCCCATCTGGTCATCCCTCCAGAAATTCCAGAGCATCTCAGATGGGAAGGTCCAGACAAGTCTACATAGGAGGGTCTTTGAATCGGGTTCTTCCCAAGCTCTTTAGTACTAACTAAGCCTCCTAGCAGGGTCCTACCTAGCAAGTTTCCCCTCCACCAAACCCCCTTAACTCTCTGCCTTCTGCTTTTGGGGGGCATTTCTCCCCTCATTGCTCCCACACTCAGCTTCATCCTCACTGCTCTTATCATCTGGGCCCAGGTTCCAAGAGGCTCTTCTCCCATTCACAGGAGATGCCCACTACTACATGCCTGGAAATTAGAATGTCCCTGCTACCCTTCTAGGTCAAACTAGTCTTTCATTCACTGTCAGAAATGAGACTAAGATGGGGGAAGACAGAGGGAATAAAGTCTCTTACCGTGAGGGGGTCCATGGCTGTACTCATTTATGTTGGCTGAAACCAAAGGACTGAATTCCTGCTGTGTCCTCTCATGACAGTGCCTGACATTCTCTTTTCTACCTATTTAAAACCCCGCCCTAGGCCCTCCCTTTGCCAGGACCAGCTGCTCCCCTTCTGCCCTGTACCCCGGGGACCTGAGAAGCTGGTGTTAAGTTAAAAGATGTGAGCAGAATTTAGAATAGTGTAGCTGGAAAGGACTTAAAGACCCTCTAGTTCAACTACCCCAATGTACACATGGGGATGGGATTCACCCAAGGTTCCATGCTCAGGCCTAGAACCATTCCTTAATCATTAACCAGTCTAGTCCCTAGAATAGCTCTGTAAACAGGAAGGCACAGAGATTTTCTCTCAGTTACCGAGGGTTAATTCTGGGCTTAAGATAAATAACATGCATAAAGTCACACAGTAACACTATTATCTGATCATTGTATGGGAATCCACAAAAGATACTGAGACTTAAGTTCATGAGATGCTGGAATGCAGTCTGTTGCTTAAAACCACTGAATTTCCTAGTATATCACATGATTTTATCTGTTAGGTAGTGCTTTTCTCTTCACTGAGCTCAGTTTTTCTTTTGGGAAAATGGGTATGAGGATGTGCTCTCCTCACCGAGGGAAAGAAGTTCTGGATTGTGCTCCAAAGCCCTAGAGAGGTCACTGATCCTACTCCAGAAGTTCCAGGAGGGAAATAGATGGGGCTATCCTTGGAAGAATCAGGTGCCATGGTGACAGAAGCCTTGACAACTGGGATTAGGGAGTAAGCTGGGCCCAGAGGTGCTTTCAGACAGACTCCTGAGGGAATGGATGGAGTGAAGGAGGGAGAGAGGTAGGACTCATCAGCCCTCCTCAGCTGTCAAAAGATCCCCATCCTTTTGCAGGGCAAAACCGCAGTTCTTCATGGCTCATGCTTGAGGGAGCTCCCCACAAATGCTGGCATGTTCCTCCACTTCTCCTGATGAGAAATGAAACTGGCAGATAGGGCACTGGACCCAGGAAATGGGTGGTGAGCTCTCTGAGGAGGAAACCCACACTACAGACTGGGAGGAAGATGATGATGAAGAGGGAGAGGATGGATGAGGTGGGGAGGTCTCTCCACAAGTGGCAGCGTGCAGGGGTAGAATCTCAACAGTGAAGGAGCCTGAGAGGAAGAGAAAGAGGTAAGCAAAATGTGCCCACTCCCAGGCAGAATGCTACCCCAAACAGTCTGAGGGGAGTATCTGCTATCAAAATGCAGGAAATTTAATACCATTGAATATTTTACACCTGATAGACACTATCTAGTCACGTATCCAGCAAACATTTATTGAGGGTTTCCTATGTGCTGAGGAATACAGTAAACCAAGGCTTGCCTTATGGATTATAGTATACTGGTGAAGATAAATCATTAACACACATTATAGTGACACACAGCAGAAACTGAGAAATGTTAAACCTAAGGGAACCAGAGAATGCTGTAGGAATTCAGTTGGGAGAGATGACCGAAAATCATACAAGACTGGGCAAATAAGTACTATTTAAACAGAGACTTAAAAAATAAGTAGTATTTGCACAAGAAGGAAATTTTAGGTTCTGTCCAGTATTACTTTGTACTGTTTCCTGTTTCTCCTGAAGACAGGGCCCGTGCCTCTTCCTTCGCTTACCAAACACAACCTGAGCAGGTGCTCACTACAGATTTACCCTTAATTATAGTTGGCTAAAAGTACAGATATATACAGAGAAGAAAGGGGTCAGAGTCCAAATACAGATGTTTCTTTGAATGACAAAATTCCCAGATTTCCTTGTTCCCCTCAAGGGATACCTAAAGGCACGATAACAAACCTGTGTACCTAATTCAGGATGCTTACCAGTGCAAATGGGACATTGTCCACTCTCCTGGACACAAATGCTTTGAGTTTGAGGTTGACGCTGTTGTTTCTGTCCATTGCTTTGGGTTTGAGGTTGACGTTTTTGTGTTGTCCCCCTTCTATTTGGTCGATAGCTGGATTTAGATAGGATTCTGTGAGAAAGAACAGTAAAAGATCATTTATTAGCAAGAGGTGATACTACCAGTCATAAAGTCTGAAGGAATCTAGAATTGGGGCAGAAAAAAATGCAAAATAGTTGATGTGGAGCCTGAAGGCCTAGGTTGGAGTGCTGGCATCCCCACTTAATGTACCAGGCTCGAGGAAGGTCATTTAACCTTTGAATATCTGAGAAGAGAGTTTCTATTAATGCTCTAAGATTCTTTTTCTTTCTTTTTTTTTTTAATTGAGATATAATTCACACACCATAAAATTCACCCCTTTTAAGTATATATTATTCAGTGGTATTTTGTATATTCATAAAGTTCTATAATAATCACCACTAATTCCAGAATACTTCATCCCAGAGAGAAACCTCATACAGTTACTCCCTATTCGTCCCTCTTTCCAGCCCTTGACAACCACTAATCTATTTTCTGTCTCTATAGGTTTGCATGCTCTGAACTTTTCTGTGAATGAAAATCATTGATTATGTGATATTTTGAAACTGACTTCTTTCACTAAGTGTGTTTTTAAGGTTCATCTATGCTGTAGTATATATCAATACTTAAATCCTTTTTATGGTATATACCGTATTTTGGTAAACTACTCATTGGTTATTCTGGTGCTATCAGACAGAATGCTGAATATTACAATATAATGAAGATCACCAGATATACTGTCAGATATAGTGCCAGAAAAATAGCTCTCAGGTTAGAAGGCACTCAAAATGCTACTGGGGAAGAGCTGCCTCTTCAAAGTTGAGTTGACTGTGATGATGTGAATGGAGTAAAGCTTTCAGGACCTTTGTTTGCTGATGGGGCACAACTCAAAATGAGGAGAAACAGTGGCAAACAACTATTAATAATCAGAACGTGGAATGTACGAAGTATGAATCTAGGAAAATTGGAAATTGTCAAAAACAAAATGGAGTGCATAAGCATTGATATTCTAAGCATTAGTGAACTGAAATGGACTGGTATTGGCCATTTTGAATCTGACAATCACATGGTTTACTATGCTGAGAATGACAAATTGAAGACAAATGATTTGGCATTGCATTCATCATCAAAAAGAACATTTCATGATATATCTTGAAGTACAATGCTGGTTGTGATATAATATCCACATGCCTACAAAGAAGAACAGTTAATACATTATTTAAATTTATACACCAACTACTAAATTCATTGATGATGAAATTTAATAATTCTACCAACTTCTTCAGTCTATAATTGATCAAATATGCAATCAAGATGTATTGATCATTACTGGTGATTGGAATGCAAATGTTGGGAGCAAAGAGGAAGGATCAGTAGTTGGAAAATATGGCCTTGATGATAGAAACGATGCTGGAGATTGCCTGACAGAATTTTGCAAGACCAAGCCCTTCTTCATTGTAAATCCATTTTTAAGCAACAAAATTTTTAAGATGACTATACACATGGACCTCACCATATGGAATACACAGAAATGAAACTGACTATACCTGTGGAAAGAGATGGTAGAAAAGCTCCATATCATCAGCCAAAACAAGGCCAAGGGCAAATTCAGGCTGAAGCTGAAGAAAATTAAGTCCATGAGAGCCAAAATATAACCTTGAACATATCCTACCTGAATTTAGAGAGCATCTCAGGAACAGATTTGATGAATCAGACACTAATTACCAAAGACCAGCTGATTTGTGAGATAACATCAAGAACATCATACAGGAAGAAAGTAAAAGATCATTAAGAAGACCAGAAAAAAGGAAGAGACCAAAATGGATGTCAGACGAGACCTTAAAACTTGCTCTCCAGCATAGAGATGCTAAAGCAAATGGAAGAAACAAGGAGGCAAAAGAGTTAAAAAGAAAACTTCAAAGGGCAGCTAGAGAAGACAGTCAAATATAATAATGAAATGTGCAAAGACCTGGCATTAGAAAACCAAAAGGGAAGAAAACGCTCAGCATTTCTCAAGCTGAAAGAGCTGAAGAAAAAATGCACGCGTTGACTTGAAATATTGACGGATTCTATGGGTGAAATATAAATGACGCAGAAAGCATTAAAAGAAGATGGAAAGAATACAGAGTCACTGTACCAGAAAGAAATGGTCGATGTTCAACCATTTCAAGAGGTATCATACGACCATGAGCCAATGATATTGAAGGAAGAAATCCAAACTGCACTGAAGACATGGGCAAAGAACAAGGTTATGGCAATTGATGGAATACACATTGAAACCTTGCAACAAACTGATGCTGCACTTGAGGCACTCACTCATTCACACCAAGAAATTTGGAAGGCAGCAACCTGGCCAACTGATTGGAAGAGATTCATATTTGTGCTCACTCCAAAGAGAGGTGACCCAACGGAATGCGGAAATCACTGGACAATATAATTAATATTGCATGCAACTAAAATTTTGCTAAAGATAATACAAAAACGGATGCAACCATACACTGACAGACAACTTCCAGAGGTTCAAACCGGATTCAGAAGAGGATGTGGAAGGAGGAATATCAGTGCTGACATCAGAATGTATTTTGCCTGAAAGCAGAGAATACCAGAAAGATGTTTACCTGTGCTTTATTGACTACACAAAGGCTTTCAATTGTGTGGATCACGACAAGCTACAGACAACATTGCGGAGAATAAGTTTTCCAGAACACTCAACTGTGCTCATGAGGAAACTGTACATAGATCAAGAGGCAGTTGTTTGAATAGAACAAGGTAACACTGAATGGTTTAAAATTAGGAAATCTGTGTTGTGTTCTTTCACCATACTTATTCAGTCTTTATGCTGAACAAATGATCCAAGATGCTGGATTATATGGAGAACATGGCACCGAGATTGGAGGAAGATTCATTAACAACCTGTAATATGCAGATGATGCAACCTTGCTTGCTGAAAGTGAAGAGGACTTCAAATATTGATGAAGATCCAACACCACAGCCTTTGTTATACATTGCACCTCAGTGTAAAGAAAACAAAAAATATCACCACTGGACCAATAAATAACATCAAGATAAATGGAGAAAAGATTGATGTTGTCAAAGACTTCATTTTGCTCAGAGCAACCATCAACACTCATGGAAGCAGGAGTCAAGAAATCAAACAACATATTGCATTAGGCAAATCTGCGGCATAAGACTCCTTTAAAGTGTTTAAGAGCAAATCTGTTAGACTGAGGATAAAGGTTTGCCTGACACAGCCATGGTATTTTCAATAGCTTCATATTCATGTGAAAGTTGGACAATGAATAAGGAAGACCATGGAAGAACTGATGCAGTTGAGCTGTGATGTTGTAGAAGAATATTAAAAGTACCATATGTTGCCAGAAGAACAAAAAAATCTATGTTGGAAGAAGTACAGCCAGAATGCTCCTTAGAAGCCAGGATGTCTAGATTTGTCTCTTATGCATTTTAGCAGGAGGGACCAGTCTCTGGAGAAGGATATCATGCTTGGTGAAGTGGAGGGTCAGCAGAAAAGAAGAAGACCCCCAAAACAGGATGAATTGGCATAGTTGCAGCAGCAATGGGCTCAAGTGTAGCAACAATTGTGAGGTTGGCCCAGGACTGGGAAGTGTTTCATTCTGTTGTGCATAGGGTTACTATGAATTGGTACCAACTCGACATGTGGCAAGTGTCTGAGAATACAAAAATACACAATCATCAGTCTAATATAAATATGATACCGCAATATCACAGAAAAAACATACAATTTCAACTTATATGAAGCAACAAGACAGAGTGCCTCAGACAAGTGACCAAAACACAGTCAGAAAGTAAAATACCAGAAATAGTATTAGAACTACCCAATAAGGAATTTAAAAGAATGCTAATAAGGCAATTTCAACAATTTGAAAAAATGATCAAGAAAATTGCAGATGAAATCAAGGGAAACATGGACTAAACTTTAGAAGCATTCATGAAATAAACTGCAAAGAAATGATAACTAAAGGGGTGGGGGGTTCATAAAAAAACAGCGATCAGAAAGCCAGAATATTGACACTAAGACTTAAACAAACAAAAAATCAGAAGAAAGCCTAAGATATATGTGGGACACTGTCAAGAGAAATAACTTATGTATGATTAGATTTCTAGAACAGGAAGAAACAAACAACAAAAAAAATATAGAATATTGTCCAGGAGTTACTGAAATAAACTACCCTAACACAATGAGCGACAAGAAGATAGCCATTCAAGAAGTGGAATGAACTCCAAACAGAACAGAGCCCATAAGAAAAACACCAAGACATATTACAATCAAACTTCTCAAAACCAAAGACAAAAAAAGCACCCAGAGAACAGCTCAGGAAAAATGAAAAGTTACCTATAAAAGAGAACTAATAAGGCTAAGCTCTGAACTGACCTAGACCCTGCGGGGCTAGGGCTGAGAATGAAGCAGCCAGCAGGTGTCAAGTGCAAGGAGGTACATGAACTCCCAAACTTACAGCTAGTACCCATTTGACGTAGCTTGGATGGCTAGCTGACCAGAACTCAACCAGATGAAGATAAAGATTCTTGTTACTGTGAGCAAGTATAAATTGCTACAATATCATGCACTAGACTTTTGCTTATGAATGCAGTGACTTAAAACTCCAACCAGAATAGAAGGATTCTTCACCCCAAGGAACAACCTCATTTCCTCAGTGTACTGGGTTGATAGGGATGAGAAATTTAGACAGTAGCTATCAAAAATGGGGAGTTATAAAGGCATGAAATGGCTGGCTTACCAGCTTTCATGATTGTGCTTAGCCTCAGAATGAGGGGGTAAGGTAGAATCTCCAGTTAATCGTTTCCCTCTTTTCCAGATGGATCTGGTGAAAGGGAGTAGGGGATGACAGTGATAGGATTTTATGAGTCAATTGTGAGTAACTTATCAGGATTAATTGTGATTGTCACAACTATAATTGTAGAAGGTGTGTAACTAAAGTGGGAAAGTGGTTAATCTTTCATTTCAGGAAGAGATGATCTCAGGACTGTCAAGAAGGAAGAGCATGAGTGGAGAGTGAGATTCTTACCTAGTAAAGCAGCGACAGCAGAGACAGTGAGAGAGGCGTGGAGAGACAGAGCGTGGGCTCATGGACGGAGAAAGGCTGTGTGCCTGAGGGCAGAAGATTGGCTGGCAGAATGTGCCCTTTGGACATTTAAATTAATAGATATTTTCTGTTTTGTAAGTGTACCTCAAATATTTTCGCTTTGTTCATTTGTGAAATATAAGATGCAAATAGGGAGCCACAGGGAGGAAGTAGGTAACTTGTTGCAGGGAAGTGACTGTAATCATTGAGATGAAACAAAGTGTATAATTTGCTGAAAGTAAAGCTGTTGATCTTGTCTGTAAACCTTCACCCAATGCACAATAAAAAGTTAAAAAAAAAAAAAAAAAGACTAAACTCTGATTTCTCAGCAGAAACCATGTAGGCAAGAAGGGAATGGAATGACATATATAAAATTTTGAATGAAAAAAATTGCCAACCAAGAGTCCTATATCCATCAAAATCCATCAAATCTGATGGCAAAATTAGGCCTTTTTCAGATAAACAGAAATTAAAATAACTTGTAAAAACCAGACTAAATTTACAAAAAATACTAAAAGGTTTTCTTTGGACAGAGAATCAACAATAGACAACAGCTTGAGACTAACATACACGACAATATCACCTAGACTGAATCCAGATATTCAAAGAAAAACAGACCTACAAGACTGAAAATAGAGAACCAGAGATACAGTTGTAATAACAACAAAAATAAAGTAAAAAGAGGGAATAATGTAATTACAGAACTTCCAAATGAAGATATCAAGTAGATTGAAAAAATAATAAATCTGACTGTAACCTTAAAAACTAGACCAAGCCCTACTCCTAACCCCAGCCCAACCCTTATACCGAACACTAACCCTAGTCCCTAACTGTAACTCTAATAATAAACAAAATCAAAGACCTTGCCCTAGATTCTAATCCTAACTTCTTACTCCTACCTCTCCCCTTTACCCCCCGCAAAATGCTGCCTATGACATAGTTTCCCATTCAGAATAAGCAATAAAAAGGGTGTTAATTTTCATTATTACTGCTGCCATCCCCTTGCGGACATTTTTCCAGTGTTCTTCAGAGTATCAGAACTTTGCTCAATACTAAATAAGGAATGGTGATGAGGAGGAAAGGAGAGAGGCAAGCTTCATTTCAAGGTAAATGAAAAGTACTACATAGCAAACACAACAGTTAAGTGCCACCTAGTGTGTAAACTCATTTTCTTTAATATCTAGTTCCTATAACACAGTTGTGATCAGGATGCAATATCTAAACCAGGTTTCATTAAAGACCCAGAATGGCATAAAGGCAAATGAACATAGGATAATTTGGAATTAGGTAACAGTTCATGAAACGGGGTGGTGTGGTGCTGTAGGGTAAGCACTGGACTGCTAATCGCAGGGTTGGCAGTTCAAGCCCACTAGCTGCTTTCAGAAATCCTACACAGGGTTTTTTTGAGTTAGAACTGACTTGACCATCTTGACCATGTGGTACAAATCATTCATCTTCAGATTCTGGTTTACTATAGGGCTGTCTCCTTGCTTAACCCCGCCTCCCCCCAACAACATGTGAAAGAGAGTATCTTTACTCTCTAGGTCAAGAGTGGGGAACGTCCGGCTCTCAAGCCTTGGTCTGGCTCCAAGGCAACCGTAGTTCCAGCCATCACATTAGGGGTGAGTTAATTAAATGTCTGACCAAATTTAGCAGGATAAATTTTAAGGTGATAATTTTGTATGGCCTGAGGATGATGTTATAAATTTTGGCAGAAAAACTGTTCCCCTAGACTGATCTAGGTCCAGACCAAGAATAAGAGTACTTTCTGACCTAACTGAAGCAAGAGTTGGGGTAGGACAGTGGCAGTTTATTCAAACACAAAGTTCAGAAGGGTTAGGAAAGGAGGAAGGGAAATAGGAAACCCAGGGAGGAAGTAGGGTAAATGTGACATTGAGAGGTTGCAATCAGTGAGATGAAACATGTTGTATATAAATTGTTGAATGGAAAACCAATCATCTACTCTGTAAACCTTCATGTAACTCACAATAAAAACTTAAAAAAACGAAAAAGACAGAGGTAGGAGAGCAATATGGCTTGGGAAGGTAATTTGAGCCGTTTTGGTTGGCTACTTACTTTTGTTTGTGTATTTTCTGTCTCTTCCTCCTGCTGGAGCCATTCTCTGAATTTTGCTCCTTGGGTCTGGTTTCTGTTAAAAACGTTCATCAAATGTAGCTTATTAACCAAAAAACTCTTCAGGCACTGTGACTTCTGCCAGGAATACACATGTCCTCTTTCCCTGGTTAGTTGTAGGTGAAATGCTAATTCCTCTGAGGTACTGTTCCTGGATTTTCTAATCTAAATCTGGTCATTCTAGATGCTTTTCCTTCAAAGCATTTATCAGAGTTTTAAGTTTTAGGTTTCTTTGTGTGATATGTACACACATTTCTGTTAGGGTAGGGACATTGTTATTTTATTCACTGTGGTATCTAGCACAAAGGCTGCCACAAAAGAGATGTTCAATATCTGTCAAATGAGTGATAAAACGCAGCAACAACTATTTGTCTAGTTATTCAGAATTTACAAAACATTTTGTAAAGCATTTAATGTTTTTCAAAGTGCTTTCATAGCTCCACTGTCCAACTCTCAAAAGGATTAGTTCTTTTCCATTCTCCTTCTCTTAAAATAGCAAAGAAAATCTTTCCCTTGGTGGTAGGCAGCTTCTGAAATAAGCCCCACTGATTTCTGCTTCCTGGTAAAAACCCCTGCTCCTAGTGTTGCCTGCATCTAGTCACATGACTCCATTCACTCACTGCCTTGCCATCGAGTTGTTGCCTGATAGTGACCCTATATCGGGTTTCTCTAAGGGCTAGAATATGGCAAAAGATGAGGCGTTCTGTTCCCATAAAGATTTATAGCCTCAGAAATCCAGTACAAGGCTGCTATGAGTCAGAACCGACTTGTCAGCACCCCACCACCACCCTATCTCTAGAGTGTAATATACTCATTATATCAATAACTTCTTTAGTTCTTTTAGCTGACAGATAAACCATTTCCCCCCTTTCTTAAATTTTTCCTAGTGAAACAATAAACTTGTCTGTGTTCTTGACTTTTTAGTGTGAACTTTGTTTTCTCCTTCTTGGTATAGGGAATAGTGAAGAGAATAGGAGTTTTTAGGCTCAAATCTTGGCTCTGCTTATTAGCTGTGTGACTCAAGAATATTTTAATTCCCTGAATCTCCGATTCTTCTGTCAAATGAAATTATCTATTGCATAAATTTGTTGTGCACATTAAATAAGATAAAGCTAGCAAAAGTCCCTAGTAAAGATTTATACAGAGTTGTTGTTGCTGTTTTTATGTGCCGTGGAGTCGGTTCCGACTCATAGTGACCCTGTACAGGGTTTCTGAGGCTGTAAATCTTTACAGAAGCAGAAAGCCTCATCTTTCTCTGGCAGAACAGCTGGTAGTTTCGAATTGCTGACCTTGCGGTTCGCAGCCTGATTCGTAACCAGAGCTCCTTTTATACAGAGTAGGAGCTCCAAATGTTCTGATACTCTATCTTCCTTTGTAATAAAATCACACTACACTCTTACTTTGTTTTGCCAATATGCACCATACACATACACCACCCTGATTTACTAATCCTTTTGAGATGATCATAGACCATTAGTACTATAAGACACACCAGACACTACTTAGTTTAATAAGTCTTTCACTTTGAAGCTGAGGGAAATGAAGCCCAAAGAAAAAGATTTCTGATTTCTAAACTTACACTTTCTCAACTTCTATACAATATTTGGTTTTTCTTCTGGAAATAAGATACTGATAATTCTGCTTGTTCCCATATGAAGTCCCATTTGTGAGCAATCCCTTTACAGTAGTGGTGGTGAGAGCATAAATGTATAACTATTTTGCTTGGTTAAGGGTAAATATAATCAAGAGATGCTTAAAAGCATCCTATACACACCATCTCCCCAACAACCTGTCCTTGTTTCCTGAATATGTCTTAACTATTTCAAACTGGAATGTTAATGGTTGCCTAGCCCCACTTAGAGCCTGGTCCCTGTTTGTATACCTTCTGATAAGAAGTGATCATCTGGACAAACAGGCAATGGGAGAGTTAATCATGTTCTCCCTGTTGATGTGTATACTGGGACACCATGACCACCCTGTGCTTCCGTATATGAGAATGACCGATTTATAGACCACTTGTATGCTGTAACAGTTAGCATTGTTGAAACTTATTCTAAATATTGCTTGTAACAAGAGTCAGCTGAACACCACTTAAACCAGCCTATTGGTGTGAGGCGTTGTAAAACAATAAAGGCTTTTATCTTCCTTTCTCTGGAGTGGTTATTAACTGGACTCAACTACTCCAGGGCATTGGACCCAAGCTTTGGGGTAATAGTGGATACAGAGAGGAGGGAGGCTACTAGGGAGAATATGGAGCCAAGGGTGGGTTGTAGGCCTCACCCAAGTGATCTTGATGACTGCCACCTGGTTCTGTGTGGGTGTTCCTTGGCTCTTCCATATTAGCAGGGGGCATCCTGCGGGCAGCTGAAAGTACCATTTGGGCTGACCGCCCCAGAGTCCCCGGCTGGAGCTGTTTCAGAATATTCTTGAGCTCTGAAATTTTCTTGGGGCTCCTGCAGGGAAACAGAGAATGCTTGCCTTAACTCAGAACCGAGGCCTCACTTTGCTCATACTTAGATTTCAGGTCAATGAAATCTAACAACGATAAGAAGCCAGTTTGATATACAGGCATACCTGAGTGATACTGCCAGTTAGGGTTCATACTACAATACAGCGAATATCAAAATACAGCTATTCACACAAATGTTTTGGTTTCCCACTGCATATAAAAGCTAACCTGACACTATATTTTAATCTTAAATTAAGTGTGCAACAACAGTTTGAAAAAGGTTAAAATAATAGGAGAATGATAAAGAGAGATGAAGTTAATACACACTTTTTGCAAAAATGGTGGTGATAGACTTGCTCTTCACAGAGTTGCCACAAACTTTGAATTTGTTTGTAAAAATGTAGTATCTCCAAAGCCCAAAAAAGTAAACTACAATAAAATGAGGTATGCCTGTACAGATACGGCTGGGTTTAGAGTATCCATGGGCACAGTATACGTGGATTCAATCAAATTGGGATTGAAAATATTGAGAGGTGGAAAGAGCAGAGGAAGCAATTATATGATCAAAGCAATCTCTCAAAGGCTAAGAGGGAGTGTGAAATGTTATTTACATAATATTAGGTAATCTAAAGATGAATGAAAGTAAACAAGAAGATGTGCATAGGTTATATGCAAATGCAATACCATCTTATATAAAAGCTTGAGTAGCCTTTGATTTTGGTATTGGGGGATGGGGTGGTCCTGGAACCAATTTCCCTGGGATACCAAGGGATGTCTGTATGAGATTCACTGGGTTTATGTGCCTGAAAGACTTGGTAGCATTTTTCTTTCAGGAAAAGGAACTGTGAAATGAAATGTCTAGGAGAACACTACTCTGGCAGCTACATACCTCTGGGGATCTGGAAAGAATGTCCTCCGGATGGAAGAATTAGCCAGCCAGGGACTAGGACTAGACTCCTGAGCATCAGGAGATCCCTGAGAAGAAAATGGAGAAATATGAAATTTAAATTCACCACTAGAGAACACTGCCATCTAGTGCCAAGGCCTACTCCCCAAACTGCGGAACCTGACACTGAACAAATGCAGTCTGATGTGTAATAACTCCTACAGTGCATGTTTGCTTTTCTGAGTACTTTCTCAAATTCTCTTCCAGGTCGGAGATCTGAGCTTCTGTGATTTGTAGTTCCCCAATGGTCAGGGCTTGGTCATGTTTCTGAGAGATCCCAGGGTGGTTGCTGTTGTTAGGTGCCATCCAGTCAGTTATGACTCAGTCACCCTATGCAAAAAACCCCCAAAACACTGCCCTGTCTTGTGTTATCCCTAACTGTTGTCATGTTTGAGCCCATTGTTGCTACCACTGGGTCAATCTATCTCGTTGGAGGCCTTCCTGTATTTTGCTGACCCTTCATTACCAAACACAATGTCCTTCTCCAGGGATTGATCCCTTTTGACAACATGTCCAAGATATGACAGACAATTCTTTAATATCCTTGTTTCAGATTTGTTTGTTCTTCTGGCAGTCCATGGTACTTTCAATATTTTTCTTCAATACCATAATTCAAATGCATAGATTATTCTATAGTCTTCCTTATTCAATGTCCAAATTTCACATGCATATGCAAAGACTGAAAATAACATGATTTGGGTCAGGTGCACTTTAGTCCTCAAACAGATATATTTGTTCTTGAACACTTTAAAGAAGTCTTGTGCAGATTTGCCTAATGCTATATGTCGTTTGATTTCTTGACTGCTGCTTCCATGCATGTTGATGGTCGCTCTGAGCAAAATGAAGTCTTTGACAACTTCAATCTTATCTCCGTTTATCATGATGTTAATTATTGGTCCAGTTGGGCGGAGTTTTGTTTTCTTTACATTGTGGTCAATTCATTCTGAAGGCTGTGGTTTTGATTTTCATCAGCAAGTATTTTTAGTACTACTTTTCGCTTTCAGCAAGCAGGGTTGTGTCATCTGCAGATTGCAGGTTGTTAATGAGTCTTCCTCTAATCTTGATGCCACATTCTTTTTCATAGAATCTAGTTTTTTGGATTACTTGCTAAGCCTACAGATTGAATAAGTACAGTGAAAGGATACCTGCGCATGCCTTGCCCGATTTTAAACCATTCAGTATTTCTTTGTTCTGTTCTAACAACTGCCTCTTTTTTTTCATTTTTTAAGGTTTTTATTGTGGATGAGTGAAAGTTTGCAGGGCAGATCATCAGTTTTACATTCAACAAATCATACACCTTGTTTAATTACAATGATTACAAAACCTTCTATGTACCATTAGTTAACTGTATTTCTCTCTATTCACTTTAACTTAAAAACAAAACAAAACAAAAACCACTCAAAACACTCAGGCATATATAATAATTGACACCTCCAAAGGGCACATTCTGCAAGTCTGCCTCCTGGCCATCAGCTCTTAGTCTCTCTTCTCCCATGAATCTAGAGTCTTCAGACACTCCCTCTTAATGACCCCATCTCTGCCTCGATCTCTGGCGTCACTGCTTCTCTGGATAAGGTCCCGCATTCTGCTTGTGCTCTTCTCCCTTGATAGGCCTAGGGTCCTGTTTCTGGACTGTAAGATTAGCCACTTCCTTGTTTTTGTTACAAAACTTCTACCTTTACAATTGTGATAGGTGTAATTAGTCATGACAACAATTATTCACTATTGAATCATAAGAATCTTATCCCCATCTCTTTTCACCAGACCCATTTAGACAAGATGAAAACTATTCAGTGGGGACTCTTCCCCCCACCCCCCATACTCTTAAACTAAACTCCCTCTTGAAACCTTGTAAGCCAGTCACTTCATGCCTTTATTGCCCCCTCATTTTACGTAGCCAGTGTCTAAGTTGCCCGTCCCTATCTACCCTGTGTACAGAGGGGATAGCATTGATATTTGATGTGAAGACTCCTTTCCTCTCTGTTGGTATTTAGAGTTACTACCTCCATGAGTATAGGTTAGGTTCATCAAATTGTAGCAATTTACCCTTGTTTCCTTTATAAAAAAAAATTTTTTTTTTTGGTAATCTTCCTCTAGTTGAGTTCTTATTATCAAGCTATTGAGGCTAAGTCAAATGGGTACTGTTGGCTAGTTTGGGAGTTCTTGTGCCCTCATTTCATATCAGCTGGATGCTTCACTCTCAATTCTTGCCCTCTGTGGCTATGTCCTTGTCCATGGGCTCAAATGTCCCCAGGTCTTACCAGACTTTGGACTAACCAGCCCTTCTTCTCTCTCTCATCTCTAGTCTATTGGAATCAATGGACTGTGGTTGAACTCAGTTGCTCTAGCTGTTCCAGGCTGGTCTGCTTGTCCTTGCTAGTGGGAATGTCCCACCTTAGAAAGTTCTGGATGGGACTCAGGATTCCACCTATGGTCCTATACTCTGCAAAGGCTTTGTAAGAAGCCTATTTCACTGGGCAAGTTCTAGAACCCTTTTTAGGTATTCCAATCAGTTATAGGCTGAAGACGGGTTTACATGTTTTCTGTAATCATATCTCCCAACATTCCTTTCTATCCCACTCAAGTGTCTGCTTCACAATAGTAGACAAGGGAAACCAATATTCATAAGAGAGTCAAGCATTTTAGTATTATTTCCCCTCTTCAAACTATGCCTAGATCCCTGTATCACAGAGCCCTGTTGTTCCAGGGTTGAGCATCCATCACTATTTACCTCTGTCCCATTTAGGCCATGCAAACCTATCTCAGTATTCATCTGTCTTTCTTGTTCTTCTGCCTTCTCCCCCTTCTTGTATTGCCCTCCCCAACACCTGAACTAAACCCCCCACCCCAACACCACTGTTGTGGTTACCTTATATTCCATTAACTCTTCCCTCCATTTAAGACAGTCTATTTTATCCAGTAATCTACCTGACCTTCTCACTACCTGGATCTCTGTTCCTCTGTGTTTATCTTTTTTCACATTATAATTGTTTTGATCATAGACTGTCCTCTCAGATCCTCTGTTCTTATAATTTTATTCTGTTCTTGACTCATCCATTTGTCGAATGAGTTCAGGGTGATGCTGCCACATACGTCATTCTCTGGTGATTTATTTAGAAAGATTACAGACAGTGAAAACAGAATGACGCTCTACTTTGAATCACAGTCACCATTCCCAGGGTTAAAAGCACCTATATTTTGTTTTCACTATAGTGTATCACCGCGGGAGAAAGATGAGGCTTTCTACTCCCGTAAAGATTTACACCCTCGGAAACCCTATACAGGGTCGCTATGGGTCGGAACCGACTCGATGGCACTTAACAACAACATAGTGTATCAATTAGACTGATACATTAGAAAAAAAGCCTACAACATTTTGTTGTTGTTGTGAAGTGCCATCGAGTTGGTTCCGACCCATAGTGACCCAGTATAGGGTTTCCGAGGAGCAGCTGGTGAGCTTGAACCACCAACCTTACAGTTCAAACGGCTTTACAACATTTTAGACATTTTAAATTGTAAAACTGAGTGCCACCTGCTCAGTTTCTGTGTGCCATCCCTGTCTTGTAAAACGTTCCTGGATCTCGTTCCCCTGAGGTTTTAATGAGGTACCTGTGTATGTGTTTTGTTTTGCTGTTGATACTGTTCAATACCTTTTTGATATCATGACTCTGGAGTTGCTGACTTCTTTCCTCCTGGATACTATCTGTTCCCTGAGGTGCAGATTAATGAAATGGCCAAAATTGCAAAGACAGTTGTTATTAGGTGCCCTCGAGTCAGTTCCTAGTCAATGAGCCTATGCATTAATTGAACAAAACACTGCCTGATCCTGCACCAGTCTCAGAATTGTTATGTTTGAGCCCATTGTTACAGCCACTGTGCCAATCTCTCTCCCTGTGGGGCTTCCTTTCTCTCATTGGCCCTCTACTTTACCAATCATGATGCCCTTCTCCAGAGATTAGTTGCTCCTGATAACACGCCCAAGGTACGACATGGATAAAAACTATGGTGAATGTATGTCATGGTTTGCCAGGGACAGATCTACTTTATGTCTAGTGTCCTAATGTAATTACTAATATCACTTTCTTTTGTTCTCAAAGTGTGTTGGTTTGGGTGACAAAGCATCATATTTTTATGCAGATAATGTGTGTGTTATACAATTTTTGTAAATGCCTCACTCCCTCTTGCACATTAGTTTTTTACGTGTATTAGGTATGTGTTATATGGCTATGTTATATATGAAAAAATACAGTACGTGGTAGGCCTACTGATGAACGTCACGAAAGCTTATTTACATAATGAATATTTATGAGGAGGTTTCAAAAAGTTTTTGGGAAAAATGAAATCAAAAGATATTGGAATTAGTCCATGAAACTTTTGAAGCCTCATCTGTTTTCGGTGTCAGGGATATACCATTGAACAAGTCAGAGCAGGTTCCTAATCTCATGGAGCTTACATTGTAGTGACTAGCCACGATCACAAAGATCTAACTCCATTTATATCAGTTCCTAGCACTGACATATCAGAACATGGTAGAACACACTGAATTGTCTCCATTGGTTCTTTTGCATTTCTCAGTCTTTCCTGGGATGGGAGAGCAAACCTGAGACCAAGTTCCACTTTGTCTCTATCTCTCTTCTAAGGCTGTACTACAGAAGCATTGATTGCGGCTCACTGCTCTGACTCCATTTTTTCTTCCCAGTGCCCAGTCTCCTCTTTTTCTCAGTAATCTCAATAGCTTGAAACTCCTGAGAATTGAAATTCCTTAGTTGTCAAATATATTTTAAACTTCTAAAAATGTATTGTGTACAGGAAGCAATGTGGGGTAATATCAAGAGATCTGAGTTCTTGTTTCTTGCTGAATACACAAAATTTCCCCATCTGAGATATAAAATAAAATGGCTGGGGTTAGATGATTTCTGTTTTGTTGCTGTTTAAAAAAATCTCTACAACTCTATGACTTTCCATTGTGATATATCATTCACATTTATTCTGTGAGTGAATTGTGGTAGAGGATATAAGCTTGGAAAAATATATGAAGACAATAAAGGCCACAAGAATCACAGGGAGGAAATGGGATAACATGCTATGACTGATGTTACGTGAAGGAGATTGCAATCACAGAAATGAAATGAAGAGTATGATTTGTTGAATGTAAAACTGATGATCTACTCTGTAAATCTTCACTCAATTCACAGTCAAAAGTTAAAAAAACACATGGAGACAGCAATAATAAGAAAGCAGGAGAGAAGGAGTCAGAACAGACTTAGAAGGAAAGTATAACTAGAAAAGTGCTTGAGAAAATGTCAATTACAGTGACATAAACTCAAGGCAAGAAACCCCACAGAGAATAAAAGACCATTCGCACACATCTCTTAGGAGGATATGCACATTGTATAAGAAGGGAAAAGGAGCCCTGTTGGTGCTGTACAATAAGCACTGGACTACTAACCTCAAAGCTGGCATTTCAAATCCACCAGCTGCTGCATGGGAGAAAGATGAGGCTTTCTGCTTTGGTAAAGATATGTTGTTGTTAAGTGCCATCGAGTTGGTTCTGACTCATAGCGACCCTGAACAGGGTTTCCGAGGCTGTAAATCTTTACGGGAGCAGATAGCCTCATCTTTCTCCCGCGGAACTGCTGGTAGTTTCGAACTGCTTACCTTGTGGTTCACAGCCCAATTCGTAACCATTACGCTACCAGAGCTCCTTTTGGTAAAGACATACAGCCTTAAAATCTCTATACAGGGCTGCTGAGTCAGAACAAACTAGATGGCAGTTGATGGTACAGGGAGGGAGAAGAGGGGAACAAGTGAAATTGCAGAGCATACATCTAATGTATAAAAGGCTTTGCTGAGCAGGTCAGGTAAAGCGCAAAAAGGACAGAAAGATTATAGATTATAAATGAGCCCTGAGATTTCTAGGAGCTGAAAGGAAAAGTCTGATAAAAGCTGCAGCCATCAAAAACCTAGAAGTATGAGGTTAAGTTTGTAACCAAGAAGAATAAATAGTCCAACAACTCTGTGAACACTATATTTGAGGCTTACTCACTTGCACCTTCTACATATGAGAGTGGAAAGGAGAGGAGTTCACGATAAGAGAGGGTAGTAAGTCTATCTGTGTATATGTGGTATATGTGTCTATCCCTTAATTAGGCAACAACTTCCTAACCAGAAACCTGAAAGGGATAGGAGACCACTAAGTCCTTGTTCTATCATCATACATACCTGGTTTGTTCCAGAGCTCAGAGGGCCTGAGGGGCCTGACATGGAGTCATCTAACAAGTCCAGAGAAGAACGAACCCGCAGGAAGGCCAGGCCAAAGGTTTGGTGACATGTGAAGGGCTGGGAGCAGGTGAGGCGAAGTCGATCCCATGACTCACCTGAGGCTGGAGCCAGAAAATCATCTAAGAGAGAAAGACCACAGGGGAAAGAAAATATATAAATGGGAAGAAAGAGTAAAGAAAGTCAGCACTGAGGTAAAGAAAGAAAAGAAGACAGTAAATGCCAATAAAAGAAGAAAGGAGCTCACTGGTAAAGGACCACCTCAAGCCTTGATGCTCAGGGGTTAGCAGAGACATTCAGGGCCCTCTCAGACTCAATGCCTTGTCTTTCCACCATCACTGCTGCTTGCCACATCAGTACATGCTCATTGTGCACCTCCTCAGAGACCTCATCAATATCTTATTTTAATAGGAAGTATTTGGATGTTAGGGTCTAGATGATGACTTACCCAATGGATTCACTGAGATATATCGGCCCTTCCCTGACCATTTGACCTCAACCTTTCTCATACCATATGCACTCACAGTATCTTAATACCAACATTACAAACCATTCACACACTCAATTCTAGGTGTTCAGTACACATCTCTCTACCTTTTGAGCCCCTGCAGTATTACTCTTCCTCCACCATACTACAAACACCTCAACTTATACACAGATAAACCCCTACTTCAAAACTCACTGCTGTTGAGTTGATTCTGACTCACAGCAACCCTATAAAGACAGAGTGGTGCCCTGGTGTGGTGCTGTGGGTTAATGCATTGGATTGCAAGGTCGGTTTGAACTGCAAGGTCAGTGGTTCAAGCTTACCATCAGCTCCTTGGAAACCCTATACAGAGTCACTATGAGTTGAAACTGACTCGATAGTACTCAACAACAACAACAAGGACAGAGTAGAACTGCTCTATAGGGTTCCTGAGACTGTAAATCTTGACGGGAGCAGCAGCCTCATTTTTTTCCAGTAGAGTGGCTGGTGGATTTGAACTGATGACCATTCAGCTAGCAGTCCAATGCATAATTCACAGTGTCACCAAGGCTCTTTAAACCTTTACTAGACTAAGTTTCCAGAGGCCAAGAATTAGATCTTATGCTTTGTCAACAGTGTCAACTGAGCTCAGAGATTGACACACAGCTGAACTCAGGAAACACTACATACTACGTATCTATAACTATCACATAGCTTTCCATTGCATGTATAAACATTTGCCCTGTCTATACCCATGTTGACACAGATGTTGTTGCTGTTAAGTACCATGGAGTCAGTTCCGACTCATAGTGACCCTGTACAGGGTTTCCGAGGCTATAAATCTTCACGGGAACAGAAAGCCTCATCTTTCTCCTGTGAAACAGCTGGTACTTTCGAACTGCCGACCTTGAAGTTAGCAGTCCAATTCGTAACCACTACGTCGGAAACCCTGTACAGGGTCGCTATGGGTCGGACCCGACTCGATGGCACTTAACAACAACAACAACACGTTGATACATGAACAAAAATACACTAATTACAAATATGGGTTCTTTGTTGGGTTCCACTGAATTCTATGTTATGTATAAATAAAATCACAGCTCATAAATATACCTAGGTGTGTGTATCCTCACCATGCAGAACTCACACACAAATATACCACATAGTTGTTTGTCCACCCATTATTTCCCCTACTTCACTGACAGCTGTCACTAAGCCCCTGCATAGGCCCCCTCCCACAATAGAGCACTTGCAGCTCTCTATAGTTCAGCTCTCTCTTCTCTCTCACTCACACACACACATTCTCCCTCTCTTTTCTTTCTGTTTTCGCTCTCTTTACCATCTTTAAACATGCGGACCCCTGAGCGATTCTTTCCTTGCTTTGAATCAGCTAGAGACATTAGCATGGTTGCAGGGAGAAGGGTGACGAAAGGTCTGTCCAGGGACCAAGAAGAACGACCCACATCAATCTGTAGGAAAGCACAGCCACAGTTACCTGGGGACAAAAAAAAGTTGAAAGAAGGTTACAGGTGATGGGGTGACCAAGGGCCCCTCTGACCGCAGATAAGGGAGTTGAGTGGGAAAAGGGCATTCTAGAGCTGGCTGGAAATCCAGAAAGAGTAAGCAACCTGTGAATTCCACAGGAAACCAGAAGCTGAAGTGAAATAAGACCTCAGCCTACTGGGTTCCCCTCAACAGAAACCTTCCTCTTGCCTCTCACTCTCTTGACCTTTGACCCTGGAAGGCAGGACTGAATGCTGTCTCTATTAAATGTTTGCTATGGAATCTGACATCTCTCTGAACAGAGCTGGGACAAATAGTCTTTGCCAATCCTCTCATCCAGAGAATTCTAGGGTCAAACTTTTCAGACTAAAACCCCCATATCTTTCAGCAAATCTTTCTGTATTAAAACTGCATAGTTCATCCATCCAGCTTCTTCTTGAATATTAGTATTTAGAGGTGGATTTAGTTCCTCAGAAACCCTATACAGGGTCGTTATGGGTTGGAACCGACTTAATGGCACTTAACAACAACAACATAGATTCTATTGGAGTCCTGGTGTGGTGCTGTGGATTAACGTGCTAGACTGCAAGGCCAGTTTAAACTGCAAGGCTGGTGGTTCAAGCTCACCAGCTGCTCCTTGGAAACCTTATACAGGGTCACTATGGGTCAGAACCGACTCAACAGTACTGAACAACAACAACATAGATTCTATTTGTTGGCATTTATAATAATATTCTATGGCTTCATCCAGACCTCTAAGATCAAAGCAAGGCAGTTAGGTTCAATAATTCATGGAGCACCATTCACATTGTATTCCATAAACACCACAAACCCACCCCAAGGCCTGGGGGCATATTTCCCCTCCCAGGTAGAGTTTAGTCTATGAAGGCTGCTCAGCTAGATTTAACTTAGACATTCTAGTTGAGGGGTGGGGGAAGGGGGAATTATTTGTGTCCTCCCTCAGAGATTTCCAGGCCTCAGAGAACTCACTTACCCACATCGATGTAGCCAATGGGTACTGCTCTCTCCAACTGTAGTTCCACTTTTAGTTGCCTACTTTTATCCTGAGGACAGCTGAGCCAAGGTCCCCTGTGACTGTCTGGGTTCAGTAGGTTCTCCACAGGATACTTCGGATCCTGTCAGAGAGGAGAAAATCAGGAACATTACTGAGTTTAAAGGAAAAGAGGATGTCCATGAAAGAGGGATCCTTACTCTCAAACCTTTCCAGGCTTCCAAACATGGCCAATAAGACACTAGTCAGGAGGCCATAGAAATACGAGGGTCTTCCTCTGTTTCACAGATCTTCCCCTTAACAAAACATGATGTTTTTCTCCATGGATTGCTCCTCCTAACAACACGTCCAAAGTTTAAGAGATGAGTTGTACCTCAGTCCTCAAAGTGGCATCTTTTTAAAGAGTTTTTTTTATGTGAACATCAGTCTCCACAATTCTGAGACTAGAAGAGTAAGATGGTGCCCGATTACTACTACCAACTGCCTTGAAAGGGATCACATTAGAGGGTCTTGGACAGAGTGGTAGAAAATATGGAACAAAACTCAAAATTAAAAAAACAACACTGGGTTTACTGATCAGAAAGAGAATGGAGGAACCTGAGACTAGCCTCGACCACCCTTTAGGTCTGGAAAGAAACTCACCCTCGTGGCTCACTTGTCAGCCAAGCAGTAGATAGGTTTATAAGGGGAGGGATAGGGATGGACAACAATACTAGTAATGTATGCTCACCACAGACTGATCAATCATTTAAAATCAAAAGAGCAACATTTCCCTAAGGACAAAGTTGAGAAGGGATGGGAAAGTGGGTGGAATGCAAATAGGAGGAAGCAGGTAGGAAGCAGGATAACTTTTGTTTCATGGAGGGAATTGTAATCATTGAGCTGAAACAGAGTATGTAATTTGTTGAATATAAGACTGATGACCTGGTTTGTAGCCTTCACTCAATTCACAATAAATAGTTAAAAGAGGTATTCTGCAGAAGATTTGCCTAATGCAATACATGGTTTGAATTTCGTAACTACAGTTTCCATGAGTGTTGATTGTGGACCCAAGAAAAAGAAGTCTTTGACAACTTCAGTCTTTTCTCCATTTATCATGCTGTTATTTATTGGTCCAGTTGTGAGGATTTTTGTTTTCTTTACATTGAGGTGCAATCCATACTGAAGGCAATCAGTAAGTATCTCAAGTCCTCTTTGCTTCCTGTAAACAAGGTTGTGTCATCTGCATATTGTAGGCGGTTAATGAGTCTTCCTCCAATCCTGATGCAATGTTCTTCTTCATATAATTCAGCTTCTTGGATTATTTGCTTAGCATACAGATTCAATAAGCCTGGTGAAAGGATACAACCCTGAAGCACACCTTTTCTGATTTGGAATCATTCGGTATCCCCCTTGTTCTGTTCTCACAACTACCTCTTGGTTACACACAAAACAAACTTTAAACAAATAAAAGCAAAATTCTGTTTAAAGCACAGATGGAGGAAGGACTAGAGACATATTTGTACCCTTTACCTTACAACTTGTACAACTGTATTCCCACAAAGAATAATTTGAAAGGCACTACATTAGTAGATGGAGTCTTGGTATGGCACTGCAGAGTAAGCACTGGGCTGCTAACTACAAGGTCGGCGGTTCAAAACCCACCAGTTGCTCACTGGAAACCCTATACAGGGTCACTATGAGTCAGAACTCAATAGCACAGAACAACAAACAACAGTATTAGTAGAAACCAACATTCTCAAGTGTTTTATGAGAATAAGAATATAAGAAGAAAACTGTGTAGACTATGAAGTAAAGGAAAAGGGTAATTTTTAATTTTATCTCACCTAGAAAATAGTTTCATGTGCTGTTATTAACTAGGGCAGTACAACTCCTTCTAAAGGTCCTCCTGAAATGTGTGAGGGTGTTTTTGACTGCCATAAAGACTAGAAAGTGATACTGCCATTAGGAGCAGGGGCCAGGGATGCTAAATGTCCCACAGTGCACATGATATTTTTACAAAATGCCACTGGTACTCCTTTAAAAGGTTATGGTATTAGGAAGAAAGGAGAGGGGACAATGAGTAAATGGATAAAGCAATGACTGCAGAGGAAATGGCGACAGTCCCTAAGAATTACTATATTAGACCAGCACTACGTCCTAGTATCAGAGCTTTGGCCTTATTGGGATATTTTAGAGATGATGACATTGGTGTCTTCATAGGTCAGGAATTACCTCAAGTGTCCTGGACTGCTCTCAATGACAAAGTAACCAAACTACCTTTCTGGGGTCTATGGTGCAGACTAGTACACTTCGGACTTGCGCATTTGCTTGCTCTAAACTATGGATTAGAGAGCTCCTGAATGTGCTTTTGAGGCTATTCAGGATCCTGAATGTGCTTCTTTACCTTCAATCCCTGAGACCACTTCTATGTCTACTGCATTGCTCTGTTGACAACACATGAGTTGTGTTTTTCCCATTAGACTTTGGATTCTCAAAGAAGGGACAAATCTCCTTTTTGAAAACTCCTTTCTAGCTACCAAGAAAAAATCCTGCTAATATACCTGAGAAGAAAATGACACCACATGGCTGATCTTCACAGGTGCCATGGTGGCCCTGGTAGGTGTTTTAAGTCCAAGGCAAAAATGCTTTCTCCCAAGATTTCTTCTCAGTCTCCAGAAGAGAAAGTGTATGTTCCTCCTGAAGAAGAGAACAAAAGAAAAATAAACTGCTTATGGTGTATTCTCTTACTAGTAACAAGTGTTATTTACAGCCGTCAGTCACTGATGACTACCTGGGACAGGTGGTGGGCAGGGAACAGATGTGAACCAGCTGATGGGACTCCAACAAATGTACAACAACTGGAATACAACCATTGGGCAACAGAGCTGCAAGTATAAAATATTAATGTTCATTTGGAGTCCTGGTGTGGTGCTGCGGGTTAATGTGCTAGATTGCAAAGTTGGTTTGAACTGAAGGTTGCCAGTTCAAGCTCACCAGCCGCTCCTTGGAAATCCTGTACAGGGTCGCTGTGGGTCGGAACTGACTTCACGGTACTTAAAAACAACAATGTTCATTTATAAGTAGGTGAGTTCCTATAGGTAGTCCCAAGGCACCAATTTTACCTTCAGTCATTCACCTTCTTATTCCTAGAGCCTAGCACATAGCAAGGATGTTTAACAAGCGTTTAACTAAATAAATGACACAAGTCTCTTCTGTCTCCTTTTTTTCCATATAATTGTTGTTGTTAAGTGCTGTTGAATTGGTTTGACACAGTGAAGGTACCCTCTATAGGGTTTCTGAGGCTTTTAAATTTTCACGAGAGCAAAAAGCCTCATCTCTCCTCCTGTGAAGTAGATAGCAGGCTCAAACCATGGACTCCAGTGTTTATCATATGTGAATCTTCTTCAATTACCTTTTCCTTACATACTCCTTTACTAGAAATCTTCAATGGCTTGTGGATGAATGCAAATTCTTTGCTACATAGTAAATACTTAAAAAGTATTAATTCACCTTGGTCTCTCAAAGTAGCTACAGTGTAGCTTTCTAAGTTTCTTGCCTCATTTCCTACTATTCCTTTTATCACTGGATGTAGTTTACCACTTTGTCTATTTAATTTTAAAAGTTCCTACGTTGTTGTTGATGTTAAGTGAAGTTGAATCAGTTCTGACTCCTAGCGACCCTATATAGGGTTTCCGAGGAGAGGCTGGTAGGTTTGAGCTACCAAGTTGTGGTTCAAAACATCCTTGTAATCCAGTGTTTATCCTACAGCACCGTACCAGGACTCTAAAAGTTCACATGTGTAACTGTATTTTGGTTAAGCTTTTTGAAAAAGATTTTATTGAGAATTGAGTGATTGCTTAGATGGGAGAACATCAGCTTTACATTCATCCTATTGTATTCCGTTTCATTGCAATGATTTGGTTAAGCTTTTAAAGGAAAATATTAAAACTATTTAAAAACACAAAGAATATGATGAACTCATCATACTAGTTTCAACAAGTCCTTGTCTTAGAAGTTATCTAAACGTATTTCAATGGGATACCTTACCATGTATATTCTCTGTCCAGTTTGCTCATGTTTGTTATCTGGCCCCTGAAGATATGAGTTCCTGACTGTGATATATTCCCAATCATAATGGCCATCTTCTGGCAAATATGACAAACACATTAAATAAAGGGCCATGCATTGCTAAAACAATTTTAAAAAGAGCAAATAGGCAGGTACTGGGAGACCTGTTGTAGTGCTGCAGGTTAATCAGCTAGACTGCAAGGTGAGCGGTTCAAGCTCACCAGCAGCTCCTTGGCAACCCTATACAAGGTCACTATGAATCGGAACTGACTTAATGGCACTTAACAACAACACTAGGCAGGTATTAACTACTTTAAAAACATTAGTTTTATTAATTGAAATGTACTGTACAGAAACAGGCAAATAAGAGTTTAGAAATAGATCCACATAAATGGGAACTTAAAACCAGATTGTCTGATTATTTATGATAGAGCAGCACCATGATTCTGTTAGAAAAAAGAATTAAGTGGTATTCAGAAAATTAGCTCACTAAGTGAAGAAAAATAAAAAGGAGATCCCTGCTGTTAGGTGCTGTTGAGTCAGTTCTGATTCATAGGGACCCTTTGTATAACAGAATGAAACCCTGCCTGGGTGGCCAGTCCTGCGGCATTCTCACATTACTGTTAAGTTTGAGCCACTTGTAGTCATGTGTCAATCCAGCTTGCTGACAGCCTTCCCTTTTTGCTGACCCTTTTACTTTACCTGGTGAGAACACGTCTAAGTATGTGAGACAGTCTTACCACTCTATCTTCCTCGGAGCATTTTGGTTTTATTTCTTTCAAGACAGACATATTTTTAAAAATGATATCCAAATAGATCAAAGACAAGCATGTGAAAAACAAAACTTTGAGAGCATAAACAAGTTTAAAATAGTAATAACTGACTGAAAGGAGTTATCTGTAACATTAAGAACTTAGATGCTATTCAGAAGATTAAAGAAAATACTAATCAATAAAAAAAGGACAACCAGTCTTCCTTAGAGAGTAATTTGGCAGTGTTTAATAAATAGAACCACCACTTGTTTGTCACTTTGTCGTACAGATTGTGGAACGGGCCATCTATTGCTCAAATGCAAATTCAAACTGTAGCTGAAGAAAATGAAAACAAGTCCACGAGAGCCAAAATATGACCTTGAATATATCCTACCTGAATTTAAACATCTGAAGAACAGATTTGATACATTAAACATTAATGACCGAAGATCAGAAGAATTGTGGGATGACATCAAGAATATCATACAGGAAGAAGGCAAAAAGTCACTAAGAAGAAGAAGAAAAAAAAAAAAGTCATTAAGAAGACAAGAAAGAAGGAAAAGATCAAAATGGATGTCAGAAGAGACACTGAAACTTGCTCTCCAGCTATGAGATGTGAAAGCAAATGGAAGAAATGAGGAAGTATAAGAGATAAACAGAAAATTTCAAGAGTCAGCCCAAGAAGATAAAAGTCAAATATTACAATGAATTGTGCAAAGATCTGGAGTCAGAAAACCCAAAAGGAAGAACACGCTCAGCATTTCTCAAGTTGGGGGAACTGAAGAAAATTCAAGCCCCGACTTTCGTTATTGAAGGATTCTCTGGGCAAATTATTGAATGATGCAGAAAGCATCAAAAGAAGATGGAAGGAATACACAGTCACTATACTAAAAGGAAATGGTTAATATTCAACCATTTCAAGAGGTAGCATATAATCAAGAGCCATTGATACTGAAGGAAGAAGTCCAAGGTACAGTGAAGGAATTGGCAAAGAACAAGGCACCAGGAATTGATGGAATAAAAATTGAAATCTTTCAAGAAAGTGAGGCGGCACTAGAGGCACTCACTCATCTATGCCAGGAAATTTGGAAGACAACTATGTGGCTGACTAATTGGAAGAGATGCATATTTGTGCCCATTCCAAAGAGAGGTGACCCAATGGAATGCGGAAATCATTGGACAATCTCTTTGATATTCCATGCGAGTAAAGTTTTACTAAAGGTAATACAGAAATGGCTGCAAGCACACATTGACAGAGAACTTCCAGAGGTTCAAGCTGGAATCAGAAGAGGCCGTGGAATGAGGGATATCATTGCTGATATCCGATGGATCTTGGCTGAAAGCAGAGAATGGATCTTGGCTGAAAGCAGAAAGATGTTTACTTGTGCTTTATTGACTATGCAAAGGCTTTCCATCGTGTGGATCATGACAAGCTATAGAAAACTTTGTGAAGTATGAGTATTCTGAACACTTAATTGTGCTCATGAGGAATCTGTACATGGACCAAGAGGCAGTTGTTTGACCAGGCATGGGAACACCAAATGGTTAAAAATTAAGAAAGGTGTGCGACAGGGTTGTATTCTTTCACCATACTTATTCAACCTGTATGTTGAGCAAATGATCTGAGAAGCTGGGTTATATGAAGAAAAACTTGGCATCAGGATTGGAAGAAGACTCATTAACAACCTGCTTGCTGAAAGTGAAGAGGACTTAAAATATTTACTGATGAAGATCAAAGAGCACAGCCTTTAGTATGGATTGCATCTCAATGTAAAGAAAACAAAAATCCTCACTACTGGACCAATAAACAGCATTCTTATCAAGGGAGAAAAGATTGACATTGTCAAGGACTTCATTCTTCTTGGATAACTATCAACACTCATGGAAGCAGCAGTCAAGAAATCAAACGACGTATTGCATTTGGCAAATCTGCTGCACAAGATCTTTTTAAAGTGTTGAAGAGCAAAGATGTCAGCTTGAGGACTAAGGTGTGCCTGACCCAAGCCATGGTATTTTCGATAACCTCATATGCATGCGAAAGGTGGACAGTAAATAAGGGAGACCATAGAAGAATTGATGCTTTTGAGTTACAGTGTTGGAGGAGACTATTGAAAGTGCTGTGGGCTGCTAAAAGAATCAACAGATCTGTGTTGGAATAAGTGCAGCCAGAGTGCTCCTTGGAGGCCAGGATGGCCAAACTTTGTCTCTCATACTTCAGATTTATTGTCAGGAGGGACCAGTAACTGGAGAAGGATATCATGTTGTCAGAGAAAAAGAGGAAGGCCCCCAGTGAGATGCATTGGCAAAGTGGTAGTAGCATCAATGGGTTCAAGCGTGGCAACAATTGTGAGGTTGGCCCAGGGCCAGGCAATGTTTTGTTCTGTTATGCATAGGGTCGCTATGAATCGGTATCAATTTGATGGCACCTAACAACAACAACAAACAGAAAATATATATACTCTGATGTAGCAATTCCACTTCTAGGTAAATATCCTAGAGCAGCACTGTCCAATAGATACAATGTGAACTACACTTATATAATGTACTAAACCTTTTGAAATCTGGTGTGTATTTTACATTTTCAATTCTAAGTAGTCATATTTTAAGAGTGTAATAGCTTCATGTGGTTGTCATTGTTAGGTGCCATCGAGTCGGTACCGACTCACAGTGACCCTAGGCACAACAGAACGAAAGACTGCCTGGTCCTGGGCCAACATCACAATTGTTGCCATGCTTGAGCCCACTGATGCTGCCTCTTGGCCAATCCATCTCATTGGGGGCCTTCCTCTTTTTATCTGACTCTCTACCTTACCAAACATGATATCTTATCCAGTGACTGGTCCCTCCTGACAATATGTTCCAATTATGAGAGACGAAGTTTGGCCATCCTGGCCTCCAAGGAGCACTCTGGCTGTATTTCTTCCAACACAGATCTGTTGGTTCTTTTGGCAGCCCACAGAACTTTCAATATTCTCCTCCAACACCATAACTCAAAAGCATCAATTCTTCTACGGTCTTCATTATTCACTGTCCAGCTTTCACATGCATATGAGGTTATTGAAAATACCATGGCTTGGGTCAGGCACACCTTAGTCCTCAAGCTGACATCTTTGCTCTTCAACACTTTAAAAAGGTCTTGTGCAGCAGATTTGCCAAATGCAATACATCGTTTGATTTCTTGACTGCTACTTTCATGAGTGTTGATAGTTGATTCAAGAAGAATGAAGTCCTTAACAATTTAAATCTTTTCTCTGTTGATGTGGTTAGTAGCTAATATGTTTAAACAACACAGCTCTAGAAATTCAAATGTATACAAAAAGTACAATGTTTCTAAAAGCAAATGCCCATCAATTGAAGAATGAATAGAAATATTTTACATATTACACAATGGAATACTATATAACAGTAAAAACGAATATATTAGAAGTTGTTGTTGTTGTTAAGTGCTGCTGAATTGGTTCCTACTCATAGTGACCCTGTATAGGACTTAGGAGCGGCTGGTGAGTGAGAATGGATGATCTTGTGGTTCAGTACATTATCCTGCAGCACTGGTAAATATATATAAATACAGAAGGGTCTCAAAAATAATATTGAGTAAAAGAATTAAATTAAACGACAAAAAATAGCACTTGTGTTCATTTATCCAAAATGAAACAATACTACATATTGCTTATGAATACAAACATAATTTTTTAAAAAAATGTAAGGATATACAGCTAATTCATTATAGTTTTTTTGGGGATGGTAATTGGATGATGGGCCTGGAAGCAGAAGGTACAGGTAAGTTTAACTTTTATTTGTAATATATTATCTTCTTAAAAAACCAAAGCAAATAGATCATAATGCCAATAGACAACTTGGGGTTATGAATACAGTGTTTATAATATTGTCTGTATTAAAGTTTACATAATTAAACTGATTACTACTTTCAGCGATGCTTGTAGATGCTGTAAATAATACACTATATTCACAAGAACTTCCTGTTGACCTCAAAATAGACGTGACTGGCAATCAGGGACTTGATAGGCCTGACACATCATCTTATCCTATTTACTAAGGGGCAGGGGCTACAGGCTTGCAAGTGGTCGAGTCCTAATGCACAGATAACAGTGTTGGAAATCAGACAGGAAGATGGGGTGGTGAGCGGCAGGCCGCAGTAGGTGGTCCTGTTGTGCCGCTGTAGGATGAGCCCTGGACAGTTAACTGTAAGGCGTGGGTTCAAATGCACCATCTGCTGCTCTTCGTAAACACTAAATGGGGTCGCTGAGTCGGAACCGACTCGATGGCATGCAACAACAGGAAACAGTGCATAAATAAGGCATCCAGAGAGGGGTAAGAATGAAAGCTGGGGGCGTAGGATGTGGAGTAGGAAAAAGCACTGACATCTGTGAAGTGAAACCTGAGGGGTGAGAGTTTAAAAAGTGTGGGGGGCGTGAAGGACCCGCAAAGCTTTCAGCTTTGAAAGCTTAAGCCCCTTCGCGACCTCTTCGGAACAGACTGCTCTGTCCACTTCTTGATGGTCACCCCACTTCCAAGTTAGCGATTACACTCTCCATTAACCAACCCCAATGCCCCCTCACCCGGAACAATGAATCTCGAAGAGCCACTGCAGCTTCAGACCGTGCTCCACAACCGAATTCTCCCGCCTATTTCAGCCCCTCTGACCTCTGTCTTCTGACCTTGTAAGTTTCTTTTCCGCCTCCCAAAGCAGGAGAATTCGTTCGAAGTCTTCAAGAAGCTGCAAATTCTGAAAAACTACTCCCGTCTATGCAGCAAGGGAGGTCCTACAGCTAGTAAAAAACATTTTGGGTACTTATATGTATTTTCATTAATTAACCATCAAGAGACAGGAATTTAAACTTCCGGGTTAGATTCAATGCTTCCTGGGAAATGTAGGTTTTAGCCTTCACGCCTAGCTCCAGGGAGACCCGAGTGAGGGAGCGTCTCGAAAGTTGTCTATTTTAGTGATCCTCCCCATTTGGCTTTTAAAAAGAGAACTCTTGAAATATTTGCACGGAAAATAAAACTATCTAATTTTCTTATTTTTCAATATCTTTCCCCTTTCGAAGGCTAGAAAGGCATGGGAACGGTCTCTTCTTGACCCTAAAGTCAGTAGCAAGTAGATAGTCTCTTAGTTTCTGACAGGTCCCCGCCAGTCTTGATGCCCCGCCTCCTTTACAGGAACTCACACCATCCATTGGCTAGGAGTGCTTGAGCGGCGGAAGCAGCTGGCTCGGCGGGGACTAAGGGGAGGGGACGAGTCCTAAAGATGGCGGCAGTGGTAGAGGTGGAGGTTGGAGGAGGTGTTGCTGGGGAACGGGAGCTGGATGAGGTAAGGAGTGTTGAAAGACCAGTCGAGGAAAGACTCAGCCTGAAACTGAAGGGAGGGGAGCTGCGATGTTGGGAGAGAGGGTCCTAGGAGAGACCCGGACCCTGAGAGAGAAGCAGCTGACATGGGGGTGGGTGCGCGGAGAGGGAAATTAGAACGACCCCAGACTAGGGGCCCCCCTATGCGGTCATGGGGGTAGAAGACTTGCAAGAGTGGCGATAGAGGACTCGGGGGAGAGCCTGTAAGTGTGGGTGTGTTAAGACTGGAGATTATTACCTGGGGGTCCTATAGGATACCGGGCTGAGAGGTAGCTGCAGAGTTGGAGGGGCGGGGAGTTTATTCAAGGGAAAGCCTGGCTTTCCCTGGGTGGGGGCCTTGTAGAGGCTTGGTATGGGGCCATGGAAAGGGAAGAGTGCTAATCTACTAGCATTATACCTTTGCAGTGTTTTTAGGAGAGGGTAGACATATGTTAATTTAGAGGATGGGAAGGCAATACACGGGTTAGCAGAGGAAAAATGAAGGCAGAATAAGACACAGGAAGGAGAGTGCAAGAGTTATAAAGTGAATAGAGGTAAATACTGTTACCAGATGTTACATGGAGAGGGGATTACAATCTTTGTAATGAAAAGGGGTGTGATTTGTTGAATGTGATTTTATATATATACGTATATATACATACACACACACAGACATATATACTTTGAAAACCTTTACTCAATTCACAATAAAAGGTAGGACCTTTTTAATAACAAATACTTACATGCTAGGGTTTTGTATAATGAGTGTTCAAAGTTTCAGTCAATGAATGAAAAGCCGAATCTCTGAATGAATGGTTATATGCTGAAACTGATACATTCACTCATTTCACAAACATTAAATATTATCTTTTCACCTGAGCTAGGTCTTCTTAAAGAACTCACAGTCTAGTAGTGTGAGATACATAAGATTGATCATTGCCTCACATGTATAATGGTAGCACTTCTCAGAGAGAGACCAGTTTTGTTTGGGCTAGGAAAGGCTTCCCAGAGGAAGGTTAAATGGTTTCCTATTTATCTGTCATCCACCTCAAGACCTGTGACCTTCTTGAGAGTGTATGTACCCTTACCCTAGCTATTAGATATTCAGTGAATAACTTATTGAATTAGGAGTGTCCTTCAAGGAATCAGTAGAAGGAAGGAGACATTCAAGGAGGGTAAAGGTTCTGAGACCTAGGTGTGCTTATGATCTTGCACATTATGGTATAGGGACAGAGACAGCACAGAGGAAAAGGAGAAAGAAGATTGTAATGAAAACAGTGAGACCTGAGTAGTCAGAATTTTAGTGGCCCCTGGGTGTGTGATGGAGTTGAAACTCAGATAAAGGAAGTAAAAGTGGGCTTGGAAATGGAAGACTTGTTTGCTGGTGGGATGAATTTGAGAAGTTGGTGTACCTGGTTTGGATTGTTACGGGGAAATGCTGAGCCTAAGGAAATGCCAGGTGGTCAGAGCAGGGTTACTAGTCGTTTCTAGGAATCGTGGTGTGGCATTGTGGGTTAATGTGCCAGACTGCAAAGCTGTTTGAACTACAAGGTCAGTGGTTCAAGCTCACCAGTTGCTCCTTGGAAACCCTATGAGTCGGAACTGATTCGACCGCACTTAACAACAACAACAACTCCTAGCGTAGTGGTTATGAGTCGAACTGCCAACCTGAAAGTCAGCAGTTCGAAACTACCAGCGGTTTCGCGGGAGAAAGATGAGGTGTTCTGCTCCTGTAAAGATTTACAGCCTCGGAAAGCCAGTGCAGGGTCACTAATGAGTCGAAACCGACTCCGTGATACTTAACAACAACAACTCCTAGGTGTGGCATTTTAAAGAAGTTTTAGACCCTGACCCCTAATCACTAGATTAAGGATCCCATTTGGTTAAGGAGGGTGATTACAGAAGTGACTTTCAAGGCTCTAAGCCTCTGTGATTCTGGTTGGCTGTGGTTAAATGAGATATTATTTGAATGCATCTTGGAAAGGATAAGTGCTGTGTTGAAGTTACATATGGTTTGTTAGTTATGGGCTCCCTTTGGAGGGAGTCTGATTTCAGTTACGCTTACCAGGTTTCATTGAGGTAAAGTGCAAAAGTTTTGGCAGAGAAGAGAAGTACTTAAATTTATGATGAAAGACATTTTTGCTACTTAGTTTTTCTTTTCTCTTGTTTTAAGGATTTAAGAGCTTTTGTTAAGTGCTGTCAAGTTGGTTCTGACTCATAGTGACCCTTTATAGAGTTTCCAAGGAGCAGCTGATGGGTTTAAACTGCCAACCTTGTGGTTAGCAGTCTAGTACCTATCCTGTAGCACCACATGAGGTCCAAGTGTGGCACTATAGAATAAGTACTGCAAGGTCAGTGGTTCAAACCCACTCTGCTCCTCGGAAACCCTATATGGGGGTTGCTATGAGTTGGAACTGACTTGATGGCACTTAATAACAACAACAACAATAGTATAATACACTCTTCAAAGTCATCCCTAGAAGTCAATTTAGTGTGTATCCGCAAGCATTTACTCCAGAAATCTTGCTTTTTTTCATTCACTGGAAATTATTTGTGGCCTGGTCCTATCCATTTCTTTGTGTGGTTAAGAAAATGACTTTCTGAGAAGCAGCAACAGTCATCCCTTTAAGCTCTAGTCTAGTTAACATACCATAGTTTGTGGTTTAATTTCTATAATGCCTTAAATATTCTAAAGAGACAGTGAAATCCATCATTTGACATGTAATTATTAGGGTTTACTGTGCTGGTGTGGCGCTTTGGGCTAATGCACTGGACTGCAAAGGCTATTTGAACCACATCATTAGCAGTTCAATCTCACCAGCTGCTCCTTGGAAATTCTACACAGCATTTAACAATAATAGCTGTGTTTCAAAGGCGTCCTCATGGCACACTGGTTAAGTGATCAGCTATGAACCAGAGGTTGGAGGTTTGAACTTATTTTCGACTCCTCAGGAGGAAGATGTGGCAGTATGCCTCGGTAAAGATTTATATACTTGGAAACCCTCTGGGGCAGTTATTCTACTCTCTCCGTTAGGGTTGAGTGGAGAGCAGTGGGTACTGTGTGTTGAAGGAGTCATTAATGGAGCAATGGCTAAGAATTCAGCTTGCTAACTGAAAGGTCAGAGCATATTGCCACATCTGTTCTCCCTCCAGCTGCTCATCGGGTGGGAGAACAGATATGGTGTTATGCTTCTGTAAAGATTATAGTCTAGGAAACTCTGTGGGGCAATTTTACTCTATTATATAGGGTTGCTATGAGTTCGAATTGATTCCAAGGCACACAACAAACCAATACTGTGTGTCATGTACTGGGGGTTCAAAGATGAGTAAAGTAGGATGTTTACTCATAAATTTCCAGTCTAGCAGAGAGACATGTAAATAATAAGATAATGTGTTATTATCTTATTATTTACAATATAAGATTATAAGATAATTACAAATGTTGCAGGCCTTCGCAGAAGCACCGGAGTCAGCTAGGGGGAGTCAGTGAAGTCTTTATGATAGAAATGGTTTTGAACTGAAAATATAAAAGTTGGGTTTACAAAAATAGCCATGATTTGTATGTGGCAACAGAGTTGGGTCCCCGTAGGTCTACGGTGGATCTAGATTATAAAAAGGTAATGGGTAGCCTGGTTAAAATGGAGTTGGTACTCTTTTCCACTTCTTTGGAAAGAATGTACACACTGTAAGTTAATTTCTTGAGGATATTGAATCTGTGTTTTCCAACATCAGGTGTCATTACCATGATATATAGTCTGAAATAACAGTTCTTTCATATTCCTGTTTGTTTTCCTCTTCTTTTGTCTGGCTTCATTATTATTTTCCTTGTAGGTTGGGAGATAATTTGGCTTTGCTAACTGTTTTTCTCCATTTTTCAAAACAATAGAGAAGTAGATAGAAGAGAGGACTTAGAAAATGACCTTTCAGTAGAAAATACCACTGTTATCAAGCCCTTACCATAAACCACCCCGTGCTTAAAGCTCTTTTCCTTTATAATCTCTTTGTTTCTCATAGCAACCCTACGAGTTAGGTGGTGTTAACCACATTTTATAAATGAGACTGAAGCTAGAGAGGTTAGGTAACGGTGCTATGATTCCATAGTTTGTCAGTGCAGAAGTGCAGATTCTAGGTTTAGGTAACTTCAAAGCCCTTGCTATACTGGGCACCTTGGTTCCATTTCTTACTCTGCAATTTGTGCTTTAGGTAAGTAATTAAAACTGAATAGCCTTAATTATCTCATATGTAAAAATTGACACAGTACATTTGATAAGTGCCTATGATTAAAAAGGAGCATTGCTTTTCACCTTTGTGAGGTAAATTGTATTAGTAATCTCAATTTTTGGTTGAGGAAGCTGAGCTCAAAGGCTTTGAAGCATATCCAGAGCCCTGCAACTACTAATTGGTACGGCTGTGATTTAAAGCTAGGTTTCCAGATTTGAGAGTGTTTTTCTTCTGTCTAAGGACCTAGACTGAAGACTTATCTTGCCAAAGTGAATCACCCCTTTCTTTATGTAGCAGAAGTCCCAATTCCAAAGCATGAAACAGCATCTTATTTCTGAAAGGGTTAAAATTGGGGTTAATCAAAGGAAAATTGGTTTTTGTATGTAGATTCTTTAATTGACTGATAATTCTCTTAACCCAGTGGTTAAGGGAAATGAAACTAGGGAGATGAGAGATGGGCTTAGCCAGTTCAGTCCAGGTATTACAACAGACCTGTGATGGTGGTGGTGGTTACGTGCCGTGGAGTCGGTTCCGACCCATAGCAACCCTGTACAAGGTTTCCGAAGCTGTAAATCTTTACGGGAGCAGAAAGCCTCATCTTTCTCCCACGGAACAGCTAGTAGTTTCGAACTGCTGACCTTAAGGTTTGCATCCTGATTCGTAACCACTACGCTACCGGAGTTCCCTAAAACAGACTATAATAACTGGCAAAGTTCAGGTATGTCTCTCAACTTGCCAAATCCTAGGGGGCTTGAGTAAGTTAGT